CGGTATAATAAGCTCACGCTAATCATCCTTTCTTTTTAGCGCCGGAAAAAAAAACTCATCGCCTGCTTTTACCTTATCCAAACCCTTGAATTTTTGCCTTAAAAAACTCCCGTACTCCCTCCCCTCACAAAAGCGCTTTGCAGATAACGAAAGCAGATTTAGAATCAGCGTTTTATGTTCTATAAGATAGTATATATTTCATGTGTAAATTCCATTTCGACCAAGTATTCTTCCCTTGTAGGGTAAATGCATCATTAGTTCCATTTTCCTCATTTTGTATAAACGGAATTCCCATTCCTTTTCTAATCCAAGGAAAAAATCTCTGTGAATATCGTGATACATACTCACAATCTTGTAGATTCATTAATCATTTTTTGAGACTTAGTCTCCACTGAAATCTCAAGAACGCGTAGTCTTTTCCTATCTCAGCGATTGTTGATTCGCTGAATGGGAGAGGAAAATTGTACTTTGAAAAGGTGGTCAAAAGAAATGTAATAAAAAACACTTTGTGAAATCTCAAAATTTGTCGCAAAATGCCCAAAAGTCCAGCAAAATCTGATCAAATTATTGTTAGTTGTGTGATCCCTTCAATTTCATTCGGTGTTGTTTTTATGAGACACTCTGTTTTTTGATTGTGTAAGACAATCTTTTTTTAGTTTATTTTTTTCGGTAGAATATTTTATATAGCCTTCATGAAGAAAACTAAGGGTTGAGCTCGCATGGACAATAAAGGATATTCGTTGACACAGCCCCGTTTTGTGCATTTACACCACCGCGGGCGTGCTTTTTTGAAGCCTTTCCAGCTTTACAGTATGCTACAGCGCGCAGGGAATTCGCAGCTCGCAGCACCCCTGTCCTTTAACCTCTTCCGCATTTCTCATCTTTTTTTCCTTTTTAATCTTCAGTTCAGGCACTTGCTCATCAGTTAAAAACGATGTGAAATACTCAAACAACAAAGAGAGGTTAAAGGACGGGCATGCTGTGAGCTGCGAATATCTTGCGCAGCTGCAGCCTACTGTAAAGCTGGAAAGGCTTCAAAAAGGCACGCCCGTGGTGGTGTAATTGCACGAAACGGGGCTGTCGTCAACGAATATCCTTTACATGAGATAGATCAGAAAAAGTTTTCAGTTTACAAATACTAATAAAAAATTTACAAATTGTAAGAAAATTCTAAATTTCTTTGGGAGTGTTAATGTCTACTCTACTTATTTTTATTTTTACTGTTTTTTCCTGTGAAAATCGTATTATAATAAACAGTACATAAACATTTTCGCCTTTTCAAAACTTTCACGCATTAGAATTTTGCTACAGAGTTCATATTCAAATTGTTTAAAGAAATTTACGTAAATCATTTGCTCGAACACTTGCTCTCTTCGAAGATAATTGCACTCAATCATTTTCGCGGAATTGACTAATGATTGCACTTGATAGATTCATTTGAACTTATAATGCCACGAATAAAAGGTTAGTGCCGTTCGCCATATAGTTTACTCAAAATTTGTTTTGAGGTAGCAGAACTTTCGAACTCAAAAAAAGACGTCAGATTTTTTTGAGAACTCGAAAACTCATGTTTATCGCAGAGTGTTGTAAAGGAAGTTGGCAGGGGGTAGTGGCGTAGGCCTTGAAGCTAATCTATTCATTTCCTGGTTTGCGCTCCAGCCTTTGTCTATCTAGTCATAAGATCCTCTCTTACGTACAAAATGACAAATGGTAATCTTGTAAAATTGTCCAACTAGAAGTCGCCTCAAATCTGTACCCGAACAATTTCGAACAATGCTGCAAATTTTATTTCCTTTAAAAATACTGCCTCTGGTACAGCGATTCTCTTTTTTTGCAAAATATCTATATCCAGCACTGTGTGTTGAATTTCGTTACATATTTAATATCCCCATTTCTGCAATACGCTCATGGCTTAGTTCTTTTGTACCCTGGTTTGTGCCACTGCACACAATATAGATATTATGCGTCCTGGAAATGATCACGGGTACGAAATTTTTCCAATCGAGTGCTTCTCTTCAGCGCTTTTCTCATTTTTTTTTGCCCTTAAGAAAGTTACTGAGCAGGATGTTTGAGAATAAGTTTGCAGAACGAATAAGAAATTTAACGATAATATGTTACGCGCAATGTGCAATTCATGTGCAATCGCATAATTTGGGAGAATAACAAAGACTCATGCATTAATGTGAACCGAAAACCTTTTTATCTCCATAAATTGTTGACTATGGAACTTACGAACTACTCATCATCTTTTTCACTTTCTTTCCTCAAAACTGACAGCTGATTGGAAGACCATTTGCTCCAAACAGCTGTTGTGTGGCTCATGCGCTGAATGTTCGTGTTTTCGAGATCTTCAGCATCTCGTTTCCTTGGGCCGCAAAATTCACGAGCTTTGCAGACACAATGTGTCCGTTGATTACTCGTTTTCTATATATTTTTGCATATTGCAAGAATTTGATATTGCAAAAAGACGAGCATCTTCCTGTTGAAATGTTTAACTGGACGTAAACAGCAGAAACGGCATAAAACGTTGATTAGAGACTTAGTTTATTTGCAGAACCCTTCTCAATTCTTGACAAAATCTCAAATATTTATCCTGGCAGTCCTAGCTCTTTCCAGACGGTTTGCTGGATTTGTCTTATGCGATATGTGGCACATTTTCTTACATACATCTCAAAATAAACACTTTCCCCTCCAATAGCCTGTAATTTTGCGCCTTACATAGTATCTTGGTGGTGCCAAAAACATGCGCGTGAGGGGGCTGTAAGACATAAGATGTGCAAAAGGTGGCGCTCTATGGTCGTTTTATACTACCAGCGTCGAAGGTATGAAAGAATATGTCCACGCGCGTATGCTGTTGGCACCGCAAGGACTGTGTGTAAAACATCGAAGTATGCACATTCATATGCAAGTCTTTGTATAGGGCATTCGAAAAATCGTGACGATGACGCGGCCGCGCGCGACACGCAGGCACTGTCGGCAACCGCATTTTCTCGATTTTCATCTCTACTTGAAAGGTTTTTCGGCTTAGCTATGATGTATTTAGACACTGGAAGTGACTGAGCTGAGCGCTGAAGTGATGCCTTTTTGTATAAGCGTTTTATGCTCCTGTGCGTGCAATGCAGCCAAATCCGTCGTCACAATTTCATAAATGACCTATACGCAGGAACTAGACGTCGTTGCGTCCGAGGAGATAATCTCACGTCTGGTCGAAATAGTTCGTGTTCGGAGAGACAGCAGACGGTGGGAAGGATGAGAGAGCGCGTGATTGGGGAGAAGCAGATGCGTGCAGCGGCGCCCTGTCTTTGCGTACGATGATTCGCCTATACCTCCCATGTAAAAAATACGATTCAAAAAAGTCATGTTTTGCACTTATGCAAATATCGTTCATAATCGCTCTTTTCAAGAGCATGTTTACCCTCCTATGAAATGCATATGATACCATTTGTGGCGTTAATCTTAGCCATATTTATAGAAAACGAAAGTTGGCAAATTCTTATCAACACAATCAAAACCCCACATGAAGAGCTCATCGCTTTGAAAAATATCCGCTGCAGAAAAGAATCCGCTCGGTGATCGTTTACTCAAGTCTCAAAAATCTTCGCTGTTTGCATAACAGAACATGTGTAAGGGTAGAATTACGGCAAACTTTGATCTGGATCAAATTTTTTGCAGATGAAGAGTGATGCTGCAAGTCCGCCCATTATATTGTTTACTTTTACAAAAAAAAGGAGAAAAGAATTTAATTTAGTGATTTTTTGGCAATCAAAGGTACTCCATTACAAGCATCTGTATGTGAACAAGTTTTCACAAAACTTTTAGAATTTCTTGAGGGCTTGACATCGTTAGAGCATAAACTACTTTTTTTTCAACTTTTACAAGGCTATGAGTTTTGAAAAATATTAAAAATTATTTCAGTTATTTGCAAGTATAGACAAGTCACTGCATATTTTTATAATCTATGAAATAACTTCCAGAAATTTCGTTTCCATTCTTGGCCGACTAAATTGTTAGCATTTATCCTAATAACACGAAGACTAAGCCACAGTTACAGTCGAGTAGATTTAGCGGTAAATATAGTGTGCTTGCACAGAAGGTGAAATGCGGTGAAATTTGCGCGTGAACAAGTAGCCACTTCACTACCGCGGGTATCTTGCGCGCGCAATTGGCCGGCGTCACAGTCGAAACTATTTCTTCACGCGCCAATTTTACCGCATTTCACCTTCTGTGCAAGCACACTATATTTACCGCTAAATCTACTCGACTGTAAGTGTAGGCGATTCATCGCACGCAAAGACTGCGGACATATCGGCGTCTCTCTAACCAAGCGCTCTTTCGTTTCTCTTAACACCTGCTGTCTCTCCATGCACGAACTATCTTGGCTGGACGCAACCGCGCCCACTCTTTGCGTGTCATAAATCGTGTATAGATTTTCCGTTTAATATAGTGCGCTTGCAGTGCATGTAAGATGCGTAAAATTTGCACGTGAAATAATAGCTACGCCTGTGACGCCGGCCAATTGCGCGCGCAAAATGCTGGCATTACCGGCGTGGCTATTTGTTCACGCGCAAGTTCGCATTTTAATCAGCGACAGTTTTCAAAATGATGACCTGATCATTAGGTCACTATTTCGAGGGCTTATATGCATAGAAAGGGAAAAGCGAAGTAGATTTGTTTTCAGCAGATTGTATATGGTGTCAGTGTAGAATTCTAGTGTTAGTGCACAAATGCCATCCATCCTGAATTGTGGCCAAAGACGCCTCCATTGGGAGATTCCCTGTCTGGTCTCATATCACGAGCGATCATGAAGTAGCTTTTACGGTTTGAGTCTTGATTTCTTCTTCGGAAATCTAGGATGGGAACGGCAAGGGTGGATATTGTGTGTAATGACACATATGATCAAATGAAATGACTGGACTGTACTATTTGAAACTCAGAGATGTCAACTGCGGTTGCGCGCGGACATGATTGATGTGATCGACTTAATTCGAAAATCGTAGAATATGTCTAGCGTGAGTGAGTCATTCTTGATGAATGTGTTCCTCCTTGCTTGTTAACAGCGTTTTTTGCCTAGTTTTTCAAGAAGAGGGTCAATGTTTATCTTTGCACATGATTGATTTAATGTTATTTGTTCGACTAGTCACACATCTTGCGTCAATTGATGACTTATGCGTTTGCTACTGAAACATTTGTTGATGGGAAACACAACCCTATCCTTGTCCAATTCTTCACCTTCTTCAAAAACGAAAAAAGCATTGTTAACCTGAATTCCCACCATTTCAAATCTTGCTCGCATTTCAAGGCTGAAATCGATGTGTCGAGCGTCTGCGGGGTGGCGCGAACCCCCGTTCGTTTGAATTGGCTGCGATATTTGGGCGTCAGCCGGCAATTTTTGTGGTAGGCCAATGGATTTCTTGTAAATTTTCGTTGTATTTGTTGTCGCTATTTGTTTTCTCTCGTCTTCTCGCTGATGCATATCTTAGCATTTCGTTGCAAGATTTGAAGAAACAGGGCCATTTTTATCACGTTGTGTTATTATCGCGTTAAGACAGTTTTGCTTTTTTTTCAAGGGTTTTATTTATTCATTCTATCTATTATATTTATACAATACGTTCTAAGGCTTGCTACAAAAGCTTTAGGATAGAAATCAACGATTGAGCAGTATCACAGTTTTACCATTTTTTCTTGTGTAGAGTAGATTCGCTTTGTTTTTTCTTTCTGCTTACTTGATTCTTTTAGTCTTTTCCTGTGCTTTGGTGATGAGTAATACCAGTTTTTGCTTCTGTATCTGTTTTTCACTCTAATTTGCTATAATTTTTTCCTACATCTAAAAGTGATCCAGACTGTATCCTAATCTATTGATCATACATTCCATACTACAGAGCATTCTGATTCATTGGCGTGCTATGAATCAGCCGGCGATCTGTTAGTTTTTCGCTGTCCTCCTTAAGAAACAGGTTTAGGAAACCTATCATTTTTGTACTCTGTTTGCTGATAGCGGAGCAAAACGCTGCTGTTCAGTGGTCTAACAAATTTCCTGAATTTTCAGTAAAATTTGTTGCTGATAGGTCTTATGAAATAGCAGCTCGTTCCATGAACATCGCTGTTTTTTGCTGTTAATGTGTCTGAGGCGGTTTTCTTTGAAGTAAGGCGGAAATAAATTATTAAACATAAGAAAGTGCTGAAGGCAGTCGTTTCATTAATCAAAGTGAATGAACTCCATTGTTCTCGAGCCTGTGATGATTGTGTCGAATTTCTTGAGAAGCAGTTCTTGACTTCACATCTCTTCATTCTTCTCGAATCTTCATCCCAATCAGCTCAATCAAAGGCAGCGGCTAAGTGCATTTTTGCTTGTCAGTTTTCTATGTCCCCGTCCAGACTTCGCTCAAAAGCGCCCAAATTTCTCTAACCTCTCTTCACTTTTGCTATTTCTCCTCACACGAGAAAGTGAAGAGACAGAGCAATTTGGGCGCTTCTGGGCGCTTTTAAGCGAAGTCTGGCCGGAGCCTATGACTAGGCACACGCCATAGTTGATCCGGATCCGCTTGGTTCCACTTCACGCACTTTGCTATTGGTCAACTCAATGAACTGACCAGCGAAGTGGATGAAGCGGAACAAGTGGCCATCCTCTTCGTTATTGGTCAGTTTGTTGACTTGACCAATAGCGAACTGGATCAAATCGATCAACTATGGTGCGTGCCATAAAGTTGTTTCATGGTTTTTTTTTGAATGATAGGGGGGTGGCAAGCGGTCATGAGCTAGTCTATCTGATCAAGCCGCCCATCTTGAATTTACAAAAAATGACTAGGAAACTAATTCTTTACATTTTGAGGAGCAATAAAATTCTGCTCAATTACTAGTGAACCAGTAATTAGAGGCGCTAGATTGCATCCGCGCGCTTCGAGACCACGCCCGGTTTCCCGCTATTTGCAGATTTTTGAATTGAGTTAACGATTCTTTACATATTAGACTTTATATATATTAGAATTAGATCATTCACTGCAGAATAGTGATAAAATGTCTTGAATCGAAAACTACCGACTACTGTTAGTTCAAGCTCAATATTGTCTAGCTTGTACGAAATTATCTTTTTACTCATTCATCTTTGCACGCAATTAGTAGATTTCTCTTAGAAACTGCTTAGATTTTGTGCTTGTTTCCTCGACGCACAGCCAAGCTATAGCTGTAATAACGAGTGACGCGAGTGACGGCCTGAAATATCATAGTTTATAGCCAAGTGTATCTGACGTTAACTATAATGTCCCTGCGGTGCTAACATTTGCTAGCAACATCTGCTTTTGCAAAATGGTCGCTGAGCGCACATTTTCATTTTTGCCACTTCCGACAGTTCATTCACGAGCAAATGTTGTTGACAAATGTCAGCCGTAGTGAACCGTTATTATCGTCAGATGTACAAGCCTATGCTACATATAAAGCTGTTTCGTGTTATAATACTTCAAAGTACGCTGATCGGATTAATCTGAGCGCATTCAGAAGGTAATTTCTACCTTTTACAAATATGCTGTGATATTGCTATTTGTTGCGTTTATCTGTCGATTAGAAAGGTTATGAAAATATCAATATTTTGTTATGTAAAAATCAAGTCAAAGGATTCGGCGTTTTCAATAATCTCCGTGGACATGCAAACCCGCTACTGTCATAAATTTCACTGATGGCAATGGCCACTTGATGTCTTGTCTCTCGGAATCTGGGTTATAGATGCTAAAGTGACTTTATTCTTTCTAACGCTTTTCATTTACAATCGCCAAGAAACATGGTACCAGTTGCAGCTCGCAGCGTTGAACGTTTACATCAAAGTACAACAATATTCCTAGCACTTCCAAAGCTGCATATCTGTCCAATAAGCTGGTTTAAGAACTTCTTAGCTTTTTTCTCAGATGTGGTTTTGAGGGCCGACAAGCACTATCTATCTTGTTCTACTCGCCTAGCTTTAGTTGAACGCTTTTTTTCTTCGCTTGCATTTGTTGATGCGTGAAGGTCGCCGTATCTGGTCTCTGCTTTTTTCCCCCGATTTTCTAGAGCGCTCATGTGAATCTTGAATTTGGGAACTTGTGGTTTCGTCCAACATGGTGGATGTTGGAATTCGTTTTCCAACCTTCGCATATACCTCAATAGTTCTTTTTTGGAAAACATCCTCTTTAAGAAGCGAGTTTACCGTATTCAGTAGAACACACTTCACTTTGACATGAAAATTGTTTTGTGTCTGCATGCAAAGTTGCTTTGACAGTCTCAAGGTCATTTTAGCGCCAAAAGTTTTTGCTGTGAAACACTTTAACTTCAACGTCAATGCGCGAAGTCGCCAGATGGGCCCAGAAGGTAGTTACTCTACTCGTTAAATGCTTTGTTAGACAGTATTAGACACTAAAAAGTGCTTGTGTATGCTATGATTCCCGCAGTTCTTGTTTTCTTCAGTCGACGTTGTTGAATTCAGCATCGTAGCATAACTCCATCTTTTTGAGTAAATGTCTTATCTTTTTCTAGAACTTTCTGTGAACCAACAACACTTCTTTTCCTTGCTTTTGTGCTTGTCTTTTTGCACGTTTCATTCACGTCAGAATAGTACTATTACCTAATCATATAAAGAATTTTCTGCATTGACGCTATGCGACACGTTCACAAGAGGCTGAACAAAGGATGAGAAGATTTTAGTTGCTCGCTCCTTTGATAAGCCGTTGTATTACGCTATACGGTTATCTTATCTTTTGTTTATATTGTGCCACCTTTGAATTAATCTACTGACGGGAGAGTGGAATTGATGTCAGTGTTGCACCGCTGTATAATGGGAAAGTAGAAACCTCTCATTTTTTATGTAGCAATTTGTCTGTTCTTTTACTCATTTTATGCAGTGCGGTTAGTCGGCAACTTGGATGAAAGTTCCGTCTGCCGCACCGCGACGCTTTGAGTCGCAGCGGTTTTGGCATGAATTTGCAAGCTTTGCAGCTGCTAACTAAGCTACAATTGTAGACTTTCATCAAATGTATTATTTTCTCAAAATTTAGTATCTGTTTACATTCTTTATTTGTGTTCATTAAATGGTCCCGTCTAGACTTCGCTCAAAAGCGCCCATATTTAACCGCTCTACACCTTCTATCATTTTTCCTCACAAGAGAAAGTGAAGAGAGATCAGTGAAATTTGGGCGCTTTCGAGTGCTTTTGGGCGCTTTCGAGTGCTTTTGGGCGCTTTTGAGCGCTTTCGAGCGAAGTCTGGCCAGCTCTATATTCGGCCAAGCAGTTCTTTTTTTTTTGAGCTTGCAATTGCACATGTTTTGCGGTCAAACAAGAGGCACAGATATCTTTTTTGTTCTGTTTCTTTTCTTGTTCTTTGTTGTGTAGGCAACAGAATTTGTGTGTAGAAGCATGGTGGTTTAATTGAAGAACTTCCTACTTGGAAAACCTCTTTCTCATTGCCAGCGTCCTAGAAATTGTGCAGCTGCACACTCTGCACAAAACCCGCTTGATTCCACTTCTATGAATGCAAAAGAGCACATGCTCATATTCGTCAAAAAAAAACCACTCAATTATATGACTAACGGTGATGCGATTTTTTGTTTTCTTTATTATGTCTTGCTCATTTTCATCGAACTTCTAATTCAAATTAATTATGTCTTTCTCATCTTTATCGAAATCTCAACTCAAATGTCGCCATTGCAATGGCAGTGCAACGTAAATTATACTCTCCAATTTTTTTTCAACTAAATTCTCCGTTTTAGAAGCAATATTTTGTTAAGTTTTAATGACTGACCTATTGACACTCCATCTCTCTTTTTTGCTTCTGTTTTTGTTACAGTGAGCTGTGGGTATCGACTTGAGACATTATTGAGATTTTTTTGTTGAATTGTTCTGACGAAGTGAGCCATTCAATGCAAAGATAGATTTTACAAACGTTACTACAAAAAGAGGTCCTCTCTTCACCACGTCCTCACTTTCCCTGCGATGTGCGTGTTTATAAAGTCCTTGTTTCATTCACCACTCGACAATGTCTGCTTCATCTAGTGATTAACGTTCAGGAAAGCAATGGATTCGGCGGAACAAAACTCTCCACGAATGAATGATTCACAACTGGACGAGTCCAGTGGAGACGGCGCTGGACAAACGGCTTTTCCTCTATCCCGTGTGAAGACTATCATTGCTACCGTTCCTGACGCTCTGCCTCCCTCGTCTGAAGCTTTATTTTGTGTGGCCAAAGGAGCTGAGCTATTTATAGAGCATCTAGTGAAAAGTGTCGCCAAACAATATGGTTCGAATGTGGATTACGATGAAGTTGCCGAGTTTGTTCTAGAAAATGATGAATTTGAGTATTTACATGATTTTTTCCCGAGAAGGTTGACTTATGAAGTGGCGCTTAATAGAATGAAAGCTCGAGAAGAAGAGTAGTCAGTGTTTATTCTTGAATTTTGCTGGAAATACATGTTTAGGTACGTGTAAATTTGTAAATTTTTGATTTCTGGAATCCTTTTTCATCAAATTCCAAAGAGTGCACTCGGATTGACTCATCATGTGACTTTTTTATTGTGTCCCTATCAATCATAATAATAAACTTCTTATTACGATCGCATTTTACTTGCTTTCTGTTCGATGACAGTGCTATACTTTTGCGAAAAGGTCTCGACATTTTTTTTTCGTCGTACATTCTGTTCCTGCATCCTCACTTCTTAAATTATCTATACAGTAAAGCTATGACTCGGCCAAGCTATTGCCCGATCGCGAAAAAAATGGGACACATTTGACCAATGGCTTTTCTGTGACGCAATAGAGCTTTGAGCCGCCGTGCAGTTTAACATCTAGTCCATGCTGTGCCGCGCCCCGTCTCACAGCTGTTTAGCAAGAATTCGTTAGCATTTTCAACCGATCTCCTGCTGTAGCATGGAAGAGATTCTGTTCGGGGCAAGATCTTACTGAAAAAGCAGCTTATTGTTAGATGAAATGAGAACTCGTGGCATTAACATATCATTGACAACAGACTCATTCTCTTTGCTCTTTTGCTCTTCCCAACTCATAAGAATGCGGGCATAAGACTTTTTGGAAAACTCTCGTCTGCATTATTTCTATCCCATTCTTCCCTTGCTATTCTCGTCGTTACGCTGACAAAGAAATCATATTCATATGTACTCGTTGCGAATTTTCTGTGCACTCTTTTTTGGATTCTAGTATAGGCTTGAGATTTCTTGCTGCCTAACGCTCCACTGATTTTTTATATAATATTTGCAATTTTATCGTTTCGGTACTCACCCAGTTTCACACTTGGTCTGCTTCCTATTGTTACACTAGCAAAGGATTCACTCTCTATTTATGTGGGTTTCATGAAATTCTGCCCATTTGATCATGTGTTAATCCTGGTATAATCTTATTGACGACTCCGGACTTCCTAACACCCCATCAATAAAATCTGCGAATTTATCTCTTGAAGTACTCACTCGCTTTCCTTCTGTCAACATGCCACACTTATTGTTAGATTGTTAAGCGTTACAACAGCAAAGAATTCTTTTCTTAATCGGTATGGATCGGAAGAAATCTGTTTGATTATGGATCATTCCTGGTAAGTCTTACTAGAAACTTCGTGTTCCTTAACACTCCACAGCTAATGTTTGGATTTCATCTGAAAATTTACCCACATTTGCTTTCTTTTCTTTCTTCAGAAGTTTGCACTCTGATCCTCTCTCGGCTACATATCTCATCACATTGTTTCAAAAAACATATGGCGGTGCTTAGCAAGTCGTATAGGTTGGCGTCAAATCTCAAGTCACCTGTTGCTATTGCAGCACAATTTATATTCTCGGGTACTCGACTAAAAATTAAGTTAAAGAGCTCTACCAAAGCACATAAATAATTAAGAAAACTGCTGCGCAGTTTCGAGGAATTCGAACTATGGTGCGATTGCAGACATGATCAAAGATTTGACATCAAGTGCATGTTTTATGAAAATAGCTTCGCGCTGATCTCATTAATTTGACGTTCTCATGATTCATGCAGCAAAAAGCAGTTCCTAAAAATAATTGATCAGATTTTGCAAGGCTTTAATTATATTTTCCTATGGTTTCCAAGTAGCTTCAAATATCGTTTCCGATCGTCGAAATTAGTTCAATTTAAATATATCCCACAATCAAACACATGTTCTCTTGTCACCACCATTGTTGCCTTATCTAGTTCAATTTATTTTCTATCGACTCTCAGGGGTATAGCGGGCGGGGCATTACAGGCTTTTGATAACGTATACGCTGGCAGTTTCAATGATAGACTGCGAAAAGCACTGGTTCAGCTTGAAGGCTAAGTAAGTTGACCAACATTTTCAAATGTCTGCAATGCTCGCCCACTATATTCCTGGTAGTCGTCTCTAGTTTCAAGTATTCCGAATATTTGTTTTCCATTGAAATCCTCTTCAAATCGAATTTCTTCTCATATTTTAGCTAATGAAACTTGTTTTTTTCTCCACTATTGGTTTCAGCGTATCATTGATCATCCATTGTTTACACACTTCTGCTGGACTGCGTATATCTGTCGCTTTTCAAGGTCCAAATAGATACCGTTCTCTCGCACATCCTCTGTAAATCATCAAACCCTCCAAATGTTTGACATGTGTCATTGTTCCGGTGTGCTGTGTGCTGATTCATTTGCTTGCATTTCATATCAGACCCTTTTCAATGTTAAACTGAATCGAATAACGTGGGACATATACAAGTGGAATCTGCAGACGCTGCAATTAAGTGTGAGTAAATAAGTTTGACATTCACCGTCACTTCCTCCTTTCAAGTTATTGTATTGCTTTTTTAACGAAAATAGCTAGTGTTTTGGAGGACTCTGCGACCTTCAACGAACCGGATCTATATTGAGCAGTCCTAGCGTTATGATACTATTATTGATTTTATCAAAATATCACTACTCTTTAGTCTGAACATTATTTTTGGTGCCTGTTGGCTTGAACGTGAAGGTTTCCGTATACCAAGCGAAATCACCAATGTCAACAGCACTTTTTCGTGCCATAAATCCGTAATTTCGCCATTAAGCTCAAGTGCAACTCAACCTTGAATCGCAAAAGCGCTGCGAGCAGCAGCTAATGTATTGGGGACAGGTTCTCTGACCGTTTCGAACGTCCTTGCATAAAACATCAAGGGGACTGGCGAAATTGTTGAATTTTTCTGCTTAAATCACCACTTACCTGAATATACGTTAAAAATTTTGAAATTTGAAATCTGATAATGAAAAATGTAGAGACATGTAGATAACGTGAATTATACCATTTGATACGTTATGATATCCTATTTCAAAAGATATCTAACTTTCATTAACAACTATTTGGAATGACCTTTTCTAACAACACGTCTGCGATATTTCTGAGAATTGATCAATTGCTTTCTGGGTTGTGACGTTTCGTTCCGAGCTTTTATCAAAGATGCTATCAACTCAGAAATCAATTTCTGAGGCTCAGACATTTCGAGGTTTCTCCATACAAGATACCTCAGACTTTCCAGTCAGTTGTTTGAAGTTTGTCTCTTTCCTTCTTGCCATAGTCGAACTATACCTCCTTTCAAGTCGGTCATTCCACAATTTTTTTCATGAATAAGACGTCATGCGCTATTGGAAGAGATAAAAGAGACCTTTCTATTGATATCAAATTCTTTTGTTAAACAGTTTGATATAACAACAAGATTCTGAATATAAATTTGTCAACGTAGTTTTGGAACACATTATAGTACAATGTGATCAAGGTTAAAGCCGTTCATAGTATAGCTTAAGATAAGCATAGTATTTGAGTTTGTTCATGTTCATTTGGTCTTAGGTAGACGCTTACCCTAGCAGACGAAGGTCATGTTTGTTTATGTTGTCAGTCAATGTTCTGAGTGAGTGTCTGTCCGTTAGACAGTCAAGTGTGGTGGAAGAAGACGGAACATGCTCATTTATTGCCTCTGGTTAGTTCTAAGAGTGCAGAGTGTTTTGCGCCAGCCCGAACGAGTTTCCTCATTTTTGTTCAGTTTCGTGTTCAGTCCAGATCACGACCGCTTTCGTCTTGAACACCTTGGCTTCTTCAAGCAGAAGTCAAGAAATCACTGGCTTTAAGGTGCTTGGACTCATATTTTTGTTGAAATGTGTCGTCGTTTCCCGAGTGTGACCTGATCAGCCATATGCTTCGCCCCTACGAAACTATTCTAGACGCAGCTGTAGAGCTTCGGCGTTATTGGCCATATGTGACGCCATAAAATCGAAAAAGAAACATAAAGTTGAAAAAGAGAACCGTATGCCCTTTGCTGCTGTTCCACTCTCAAAAAGTGATGCTTCATTCACGACAAAGTGCTCTTTTCCTCAGTCTTTACGATTATCTGCGTTTTGCTATACGATATGTACAGAAATTGGACAAATGCAAAGTGATTTACGAATCTGTGCGAATTTGTTGACGATAGTCATGCATTTCTCGTTTTTCATTGCATTTTCGATATTACAAACAATCATCGTATTGCGGCGTGGGAATGAAGAATCATTCATATGTATTTTGAAGGCGACGAAAGTGTAAAACGGAAATGTTTTACTGTAATATAACAATGCAGCAAAGTCACCTGCTTTGCTTCAATGTTTGGTTGAATCTGTCCGTTGAAATGTCCAGATAGTGCTGCCGGGATTATTAGTAAGCTACTTTGTTATTATGATTTGGTTATTTTGTCAATAGCTTACTGCATTTTCCTTTTTGCAAATTGTTTATCATAGAAGTTTTGACTTTGTATATTTCCCCATTTTTTATTAAATTGCCTAAGCACGATGACGCTATCGCAGTTTTTCTGTTTGTTTTTCTTAAAATCAACTGCACTTTGTTCGCTTGCCTGTCTTTCTTTGAATGAATCGCGTTCTACGATCTTTAATGCGGGACGCAGAGATTCACATTAGTGTCGCATCTGTACTTTGAAGAAACAAAACTTTCTACACTAACGCAAAGTCATGTTTTCAATTTATTCTCAGGCGAGAAGCCAAATGCATCATCCGAGGCTCCGCTAAAACTTTATATGAAAGTTTATCTCACACGCGGGACATTTTTCTGGGGTATAATGGCAAATACGCAATGAGGGGTCATCTCCGCAAGACCCCATAAAAAGCGAATGCGCGTCGTTGACATGACTAGCATGCCTGATATCACTGATATCAATTCAGAAGAGCTTTTTTTCATAATTTTGATCATTTTTTGTCTTTTTTGCTTCTAGAAGTGCTGGGATTCATCCATAGTAGCTAACACTAAACTTTGACCTTTATTTGGCTACTTTTCAACTTTGCAGTATTTTGCAGACTAATTCGTTAAACAGCAGAAAGTATAGCATATTTACGTATTCTATTATGACTACACTTGTGAATCATCACAGCCTATATATCAACCGATAATCTGATAAGTTAGCAAATTTCTCTGCTGGCTTTTGTCGGTTTTGTCATAATATTTCATGCTATCCAAATTGTGAAATTACTAAGATTTTCCCTTCCTATTCTTCACCATTTCTCTAAAGATGCTCAAAATGGTAACGTCATCAAGGAAGAGGGCTCGTTAGATGATGCGTTAAAGTTTCATTTAGTTTCCTTTTCCTGGTTCTTGTTGTGATGTCATTGGTTGTTTATGAAATTTTATTGCGTCTTCGTCATTCTGACTCACTTTTCGATTCTTTTTTGGAGTTTGCAGAGCGATACAACTTGTCAAATGAAGATAAATGCCAATGTAGCGTTCATCTGACTGTCTATCAATTTCGATCTTCCTTTTCTTCGTTCAAGTCTTGCCTGAAGGTTCGTACGGTTGTACTTAGACTGTAAAATCTTTTCAAAAGCATGGTACATGTGATTAGAATTTCAAACAGCTATACGGTTTTGATTGTAATGCAAAATCTTCCTATTGGTCATAGTTGTAGCTATACTTTCGCCGTATCTTCATACCTGCTTTTGAGAATCGTCCTTTTCTCATTTCATAAACCTGTACAGTCACGAGGACAGCTAAATAATTTGATTAACATGATTTTTCAACTTCTTCCCACTAACCTTTAAATAAAAAGTGAAAAGGTCACATGCTCTCAAGTTCTCCAGTACTTTCCCCGTTTACGACCGCTTTGCGGAAAGTGCGATGGGAAATGAAGTGATACAGGATCATTTTTATAAGTACAGATTCTTATCTTGATCAATTGTGTCAGTTTCATTTATTCTACTTGCCAAGAAAGAGGTGGAAGGTGGGTCAAATCATAAGCTGCCTTGGTTGCTTCTTGCCAAAATTGTGGAGCGTGGCAGTTGAGTATGCGCTTACTCATTCTGACCTATGGGGCCTCAAACATCCCGAACCTTGACGTCAGATTCTAAAGTGTAAGAATTATCACGCGTACCTATTAAGGTAGACCTAAAACGTGCTCAAAATCAGGTACTCTTTTTTTGTGTAAGTGGACGATAATTTTTGATAGAGTGTTTTGAGGATCCCACCAAAAAGCAAGGCCATAGTGATATGCAAAAACACGTAGGTGGGAGGGTCAAACCTGCGATTTTTTGCGCTGTAGGCGAGAATATTCACAGCTGCGCCAATTCCCCGTTCGAATTTGCAGTGTACTGCTATTTCACCACTAGGCATCTAGTTTTTTTTTCTTATACCAAGTGAAGCATTTGGTAGTGGTTTCGCCAGTTTAGGTACATATCGCCAACACCTCACTGTCGATGTTATCTCCGACTTTTTTATGCTTGTTCGACAGTCGTTATCTGCACAGCCTTCTCATTTTAGAACAAAAGATGTTGCTTCCAGGATCTTCTTCCAAAACTATAATTTTGGCCGCGTCTGGATCGATTTCCTAACGACGATTGCCATAATCACGTTGTGTTCTCTTCTGAGACGCTGACACTGGCACATGGTACAGCTTTAGTTGAATTGGACGGGAATGGTGAGATAGAGGAGTTTCATTTAGAATTTCTATTCTTTTTTTTGAAATTAACTGAGCGTTTTAGATCGATTTCGAAGTGTCGAACTCAACCACGTCTATTATACGTGGACGTTTACCAGGAGAGTCAAGCTGTGGCCCAGCTGGTAGTGTGCATCGCCTAGGCAATGCAAGTTTTTAACTGTTGAACCTTCACATCATTTTCTTGAATGTCAGGATTTTCATAATTCAAGGTTCACTCTGTCGACATAGTTATCGAAGTCACTCTCAGAGAGGGAAGTCGACATGGAACCACGAAAATCAAACTGCAACAGGTACCAAAGTGAGTTTGCCACTTTGACTTTCTAACTGTTGATTTTCGACTTTGTGCTTCTTTTTTGATTGTTCTATTGTTCTATTTTACATTTCTTTTGCTTAACCCATTGACGACGATTTGCGTGGCGGCGCTGTGGGACGACGCGAATTTGCACAACGTTTTCGGCATGGGAAGGTTTTGTGGTTATTGAAATGCAAGGTTGTTTTGTAAACAACTATAAACATTTTTTGAACGACAGAGCACAATTGCAAAATATTACCAATCTATGGAAAATACTAGACCCACAAAGGATATGATTTTGCAACAGGTGTTGGCCATCGGTGGTCCACATCGTCCCTGGCAGCCACAAGTGGTGAGCCACGGTGGTCCACATCGTCGTAAATGGGTCAATAAATTGGCTTTCATGAAAAACGTTATTGGTTTACCGCAGACGGTGACATTTTCAAATTATTCAATAGAAAGCCCCTCCCAGAGGCTTCAGGCATAAAGTATGCATAGGCTTTATGCCTGGGGATACCCAAAAAAAGTACCTCTTGTGCATTTCATTCATTACTCGCGGGAAAATCACTTGACCTTTCTCTTTCAGTACTCTTCTTAAGGTTACTTGCTTGCTTTTTTTTGTTGAAAAACTCACAATTTCTGAAGAGCCGAAAGAATCCTCATTTGAATTTTGGTTTTCAGGTTCCTCGTCAACGCATTCGAATTCATCAATAGTCATGGAATGGATCAGGAAGGTTTATTTCGTCGAGAAGGCAATGCAAGTCGCCTGAACCAGAATAACTGGGTTAGTAGAATTTTATCATAGGATGTAAGGGTAATTAATCCGGTTGTGTACCCGTTTAGGCTGTTTACATGGGCTCTGCTCCAATTCCGGCTAATTTCTCAGTTCACGACGTTTGTACCATGGTAAAACGTTTCTTCCGAGATCTCAAAGAACCTTTACTGTCGGGCGCCGGTTTACGCGATAGACTCATCGAATTGGTCAAAAAGAATCAAGTAGCACCTGTAAGCTTGAATGTTTTTCATCCTGGGTTCTATTTGTTCTCTTCCAGGTGACAAGGCAAGAATTTGCCGCTGTGTTTGAACCTGAAGTGAACGCTGTTAGGAAGAATGTACCTTTCTGCTTATCTCGAGCACATCTGGGAACGCTAGGATTCCTTATGCGGCAGCTACATCGGGTAAGTCATTGTACTTATTACTCCTCCTATCCACTGCTCTATTTAGATAGCGCATAATTCCTGCAAGCATCAAATGACTTCGCTCAACCTTGCTACCGTATTCGCACCAACGTTGTTTCGGGACGAAGTTTCAAAAGACAAGTTGAAGCGAAAAGAGCGCCGAGGATCTCAAGTTTGTAGATTTTTTGTATCCATATATATCTAAAGTTACTCGCCTCAGCTTTTCTCTGAACTTCTTAAATTTTGGCTGTTATGGTCCCTTATTTGTAAAGCCCATAGTTTGATCCCATTTTTATGTGCAGCATCCAAAAAAATATCTTGAATTTTTCGCGTCTTTCATCATATTTTTTGCGTAGTCGCTGATGCCATCGTGCATGCGTTAAAATAACTGTCGTACAATTGTCGAAGTGTTCTACATATGTGTCATTCACACTGCTGTGTGTATACGACTTTTCGCTCCCACCATCAGATATTCATGCCATGATCAAGTCCTTTTATGGAAACATATGACGACAAGACTTGTTGTGCAAACGAAATGAGATTATATAGGTGTAGCAGTGACAGTCCGAGAATTATTTACGGGGGACGAGAGGCCTTCCGAAAAATGTTGGGTTGCTTTCTAAACTTAGCAGGCCCACAGCCCTGTACGCGGCCGAAAATTTTTCGCAAAACTTATAAGGATCCAACATGGCAGAAACTATTTTGGTTTTTATAAGCGAAAACATGTCACTTACACAAATTTAAAACGCGGAGGAGAGCTAGAAAGGCAAGAATTATATAGAAGCTGGACCGAAGACAAGTCCCACATTTGATCGGTGTTGAGTAAGAGTGAAAGTGGCTCGTTAAATGACGGGCATTTGACATCTGGTGTCGCGAACGCAACAACAGCTGCAAGTATATACACATTTTTGGCGCGCGAACCGGTTTTGAAAGTATGGCGCATGTGGGTGAAGACTGCTTTGATCCCATATTTTCCAAGCAGACCTCAAAAGTTGATTTTTCAAGGACGACATCCTTCTCAATGTTCGTGAGGATACGCAGTCACGAATAGAAGCGATACAACTACTCATAGAACATGCAAATTGGATAGGCCTTCATCCAAATTGCTATCTGACAAGTGGTCATCCACGAAGCAGCTCTGCTGCCCCATCGCCAAGGTTCGGCATATTCAGTACCGCTGCTGAAAAATAAGTTCTACTTCAGGCAACCGCCGTTTGTGAATGTTGCAAATTTAAAAGAACCACCTTATGTTGATCGGAAATATTCCCTCAAAGAACATACACGGCAGAGTGCTAAGGTATCTTCTTCTAGAAAATTATTTTTTCTAGCGACTTATACCCCCTGTCTCACTTGGGATGAGCTCGACTTGAGCGGTTCGGGTGCTGTCTGGCCGTCTCTCCTCGACCCTGCGCTGCGTTCGCGAATATGTCTCTAAACATTTCCCCATGTCTGTTTACGGCTGAAGCGAACCTATAAGATCTTTACCATGCTGGCGTGGGAGAATGATTAGATGACACTTTCGCGAACGCGTCGCAAGCTGCAGGCGAGGCGGCTGCGCGAGACCTGAGCCGCTTGAGTGGGGCTTACTGCAAATGAGACAAAGGGTATGTAGACTGTCCCCGTTGTTCTTCTCGTAGGTATCACCGCTTCGCATGTCTCAGCATCTTTGCGCCACTTGGCACTTTTCAAAGCATTCAAGCCTTGATGCTACAGTGCCTGCGATAAAGGCAGCAAGTTGGCCGTTACGGTGATGGCTATGAGAAGAATCTCAGGACACGACTATAGTCTCTTATGACGCCTTTGCCAAACGGAAGTCTAAGAATGCGTAATCGAACCTGATAGACGTTACAGACGGCAGAACGGCGAGCTTCATCCACATTCCGTTTCATCGCGGATAAATTTGTCCGGAAAAGGAGTCCAAGCAGGGATCGCACAAAGCTCAACACTGGGGTTTTACGGCACTCTGTAAGCATAGTCATCAAAGCATTTTGATAGTGTGACCTAACAAAAGTATTGCAGACTAATCGTCGTGCCAGTTCACCAGCCATAGTAGTCCCGAATGAGTTGCGAGCGAAAGACGCCAAGCATGAGCGGAAAACTTCAACACGTTATGTCCTTGATTTCGATGATCCTGCAGTAGTTGTCGCACAGCAGCCAGCTGAGGTAAACTTGCAATTTTTCATTTTCCATTTCTTTCTTTTGTAGATATATTTGTTTTCTATAACATCTCCATGCATGTACATACCTTTCTTACCTTCCTGAATTTCCTCCGTGTTTTTGAAAGCGTTTGAGTCATCATCTGCTTGGTCACCTGACTATATGAGCGTCGAAGTGACTGTGATCGCGAACTAGACAAGTTTTTATAGGAATGTCACTAGTTTAAACTTTCAAATCACCTATGCTGTTTTTAGAGTCACAATACACGTTCACGAGACGCTTTGCGCTCCACAGGAGCACGTGCTTCCCGTTCTCGACAGCATCAATCCCAAAGCACCACAAATGCGCAGCAAAAGACGGTTAGTTTCGCGCCAAGTCATCTATGGTCACGTATAACAACTATACTGCGGCTCCGAATTACTGCCAGATCTCGCCGCAACCACGCGCGAAGTTCAAAAGACATCTTTTATGGTTGAAATCATCGTTGGCTGGTAATGCAAAGTGATAACGCAAATCATTCGAAATAGCAGACTCAAAGAAGCGGTTTGACGGTCACCTTTCAAATTGTGGCACGAACTGGCAAGGTGTGCAAGCTCTCAACGAGAGTGTCAGCTTTAGCGTCTCGACCACTCGTTCGCGAACGTATCCTCTGGGCATTTGCTTAGTCCTTGAACGCTGCTCAAATATGTGAAAGACCAGAGATGTGTCCGCGATGCGGCTAAGCGTGAGCCCGGTTGGGAAGACCCGAGCCGCTGGAGCTGTGGCTTCCTCATCGAGGCAGCTCGTATGAGGCGGCGATAACTTAAGAGTGGTTGTGGAAGCATGAGTAATCCGTGACGTTTTTTGTAAAGTTGCAATTTTTTAGGGTGCTCAGAAAGCTGTTCCATCTCAATCCACTGGTCGAGCAACCCGTTATACTGTTGACTCTGTGACATCCTCTGTGGTCAGACGTGATTCCGGAAAGAAACGGCATTTTTCACCCACGGTGAGAACCCGCAAGGTTTTTCTATAGAAATAGAAGTTTACATCACAATCAATCTGCATTTCGTTGGTTATTGTTGCAATCACTTTGATTTTCAGTTGAAAGTTGGGTGCTCGAATTGTTGCGAATTTTCTGTTTAGGTTCTGAAGGATACACCTGCTTCTCTTGCGAGCCGCGAACACTTTCTCTCATCTTATGGAGAAGGTCGAGAAAGATCACGTCGACGGCATACCACACCGGTCAAAACAAATACCGCACTCAGGTAAGTCTCTGTCTCTTTCTGGGAGGTTAAAATGCTGCAAAAGTTTTTTCTCGAAGGTTTTCTTATGTTCGGTTACGTACTTTCCACAGAAGCGTTCGAGTATAATTGAAAATGTTTAGGCGCAATCAGCCGAATACGTTACATTCTGGTTTGCAACAACCTAAACGGCGTGCTACAGTTGTCAATGCAAGTGAACAAGAGAAAGAGGTACGTGTTTTCTTTTCTTTGCGATTTTGTTATATGTTCAAAATTTCTGAAATTTTGCAAGGTTTATTTTTCATTCATTCTTTGTTGTGGCGCTTGTTGCACAACTCTTTTCTAGAACCGCAGCCAAGATATTTCTGCTAGTAGTTCGTGTGAAGATATTGAGAGTACCCTCAATGCTGATGACAACAGTACAATGCTCACGGACTCATCTGCTGATCTTCTTACTCAGGTAGTACTTTAGATATAAACATGGTCATCTTCTGCTCAATAAATCGCTCTATATTCCAGAAAGGACATGAGTCTCGCTTAAGACGTGTCAAACGACAGCAACGTAGAGAGTTGTCATCTATCCTTCAAAAGTCTCTGCTGGATTCAAGTACTTTACAGGAATCATCCTTTTTCACTAAAGGTTGGTCCATTTTTATGTAACCAGGGTCATACATGTTCTCACAGCCAAACTTTGTTAAGATCGTGTGAAAGAGAGTCGAAATCTGGTGTCAACCGCATGTTCTCCTATCATTTTCCCTGTATCTCCATCCGAGATTAAGGTATTATCGCTGTTTTCTCTTTTTCTTCACATGAATTTGTTTTTTTACAGCCTCAACGAGCCCATGGATCAGCAATTGTTGGTGAGACCATTGTAATTTCCACTGGCCCAATGTTGTCTCCGTCATCCGATGAACCATCGATCAATCTACCCACGGATCTCAACACCACTCCTGCTCCTCCCAAACCTACAACAGTTCCTCCCATCAAGAACCACTATCACTCAACGCTACAAACACCATCAGGCACGGTTACGGTGGTAACGAAGCAGATGGCACCGAAAACAAGGTATGGAACAGCACAATGATTTGTTACTGCGCGTGAAAAATGTGTTTTAGCTTCGTGAAATCCTATGGCGACTCATCAAAACCTGCACCTCGTGTGGAGGCAGATGTAGTTTTTCGACACCCATCTTTACCGCCACAACCAGGGCATCGAGAAGAAGTTTGCACAAACACGTACAAGATGATTCACGTGAGTCTTTTTGTATTTTTTCTGGTCTGTATTTTTGTTGCTAGATCAAAGATGATTTCCGATTATGATCGATTCGTGGATAATCGACTGATATTCTTTGCTATGTAATATTTGGCATAATGGCTGCGAGTATTGCAACAGTCAACTTGATCGTTTTTTTTTCTGAAAGAGGGGGCTGATGAGAAGAAAAGCACAGAATTGTTACATTAGTGTTTTTTACTCCATAGATGTTGTAGACGATGAGGAAAATTAGTGGTCACATGCATAATAGCGTTTTGCAACGTGTCTCCTAAAGATTAAGAATTTTCCTGGGGGGAGGGGTTTGGGAGGTTAAACTTTTACCTACCTTGGCCTGTACAGCAAAGATTCCGTAACGGCACCGACCCCCCAAATTCAGAGCGATGAGATTCTGATTACGATGGTGGGGGCGCTTGACTAAGTAATCGCCCTCGCCCCGCTGCCGAAAATGAATTCCGAAGCGCTTGGATAGGTAAAAGCGGAGGTGCATGTTTTGCCCGTCATCATGGGTGGGTCTGAAGATAATAGTCCAAACTGGCCCTCAGTTATCCGGGGTTTTGCACTGAAATCACTTTTGGACTCACTAACTTCAGAGCACCCACGTGACTGACGGAGCCACCATCGCCATTTCTACCTTTTGGACATCGCTTCTGATCTCATCTTTTGCGAACGGACTTGGGCGATTACAGGCCGTCCGCGCAGGGCGCAGAGTTGTGTAGCGCTTCACTCTCTTTCCTCTGCACTCTCGCTGCTGTTTTTCTGTGCGCCTCTCTCAGTCATGGACTATTTCCAATGGAGGCAACAGCGTTGCTCTCCGAGCAGAGGCGGACAGGCCTATACATAGTTGGGGGGCCTCGTTTTAGTGCATCAAAATCTCACCAGTTTTATTTGGGTGAAGTGCCGTGAAGTATATCGTAACGATGAAATGAATAAAACTTAAGGTTTTACAAGAGAAACTGAGGAAAGCTGCCGTTGTCGATATTCCTTTCGTGAGTAGCGGAAACATGGGCGTTACTATGACTCAAATGTAGAACGGTTACAGGATCGTCATCTGATCAACACTAAGCAGCAGTTGTCGTCCCCAAGACTTACAAAACCATTTGCTCTTGCTTTCCCACGATCGGTCAGTTAGTTATTCTTGATCTTTTCTTACAAGGAAAGGACCCTCAGTCGGGGTGGGGTTCCCACACGTGATGCATATCATTCTGCTAATCATAGGGCATTAGTACCAGATCCGTGTTCCTTAGCTACTCAATGATCTATAAGTGCACATTATACATTTGGGGCGCCAGGAAATGTACAAGTTGGACGCATGGGCGGGTGGATAGCTGCGGAGACTATGACGCAGGTGATGAAGATTTCGCGTCCTTCTAATGTCAACTTTGTATTTTTGCAAATTGTATTTTGTAACTTCGCAGACGACTTTCGAGCATGCAGAGCCTCGTCGAAGGTCGCCTGCGAATTCACAAAATACAATTTGCAAAAGTGCAACAAAGTTTGGCTTCATAGGGACGGAAACTCTTCACCACCAGCGCCATAGTTTCCGCAGCTATCCACGCGCCCATCCGTCCACAACTGTACATTCCTCGGCTCCCCGAATTTATAATGTGCACTGGTCGTGGGGAACCGCCGCTCATAAGTCTCAGAAGATCATTGAGCAACCAAGGAACTCGAATCTGGTACTAGTCCCTATGACCAGCAGAATGATATGCATCACGTTGGAAACCCTATTTCGTCTGAGGTCCTTCCCTTGTTAGAAGATAAAGTGATTAGTATCATTGCCAATTTTGAGTTTTAGACCTCTATGACGACATCATTCGATAGTGCTATTTCGGACAACCACGCCTTCGCAAAACCCTCGAAGATTTTATCACCGGGACGTGTCACTCCGAATGATGAACCGAAAGATGGTTTGACAAGTGACGACGATATGTTTGCCTGTTCCAATCAGATGAAATCGGCGATTTTGAACGCTACATCCGAACTAGACATTGTGAGTTGTTGCTACATGTCTATTTATTCTTTTTTATTTTTCTTCAAATGAGATGATTTGTTTGTCTCTCGGAAGAGCCAGAAATGTGGAATTTCAATGCTCGTTTTCTATTAGCTGGATCTTACCTAACAAAAATTGTTTGCTCATGTTCTCTCGAAGATTCTATTTTGAACCAGTTCCAGCAACCAAGTGCTTTGGCAAAGGAGTGGTCAATGTTATCTTGCTCGGTTGGTTAAAATGCATTGTTCTTTCTTTTCTTGATTTTGCGATCTGTTTATAGTGGGAAAATCAAGTCTTTCTAGTCCATAGAATACTTGCAGGAACATTTTAGTCCTCATGTATGTACGCCGACACTGCTAGATTTGTTCTAATTTTCTACCAGAATCTGGAATTCTAAGTCTTGAGTCCAATTTCAAAAACTACAGTGCATTACAATGAGGACAATATCGTCTTTTTGCTGTGTCAACAAAACTTGGTTGCAAAAATGGCTAGGGGTGCATCTGAAAACATGCGTCCCGTGACATTTTCAGCGCAGATGCCGGCACCGCAGGAGTTCAAACTTCTTTGTACTGTAAGCAACCGACATTTGCACTGTGGTTCATTTACGGTTGACTGACAGATCGGTGCCATTCGTGGATTACTCTCCAACCTTTTTTGAGATTTGCGTGAAATATAATATTGCCCTAGTTGTTGTAGGCATACTCTCCAACCTTTTTTGAGATTTGCGTGAAATATAATATTGCCCTAGTTGTTGTAGGCACCGTCCACCCAAAATGAGGATGGTGAGATTTCGATGTTTGTAATAGTGGGACCCTTAATTAGGATCGCCCACTTCCGCTGCAATAGATTAAATTCGAAGCGAGAAAATCGCTTTGGAATGTAGAAGCGGCTAAGGTGGCTCCGCCCATCAACATGAGTGGTTTGAAGATAATTAGCTAAATTGGGCTGCAGTGTATCTAAAATTGAATTAAGTCCGCTCTTTATCAAAATCTATCGATTTGTGGCATTTCTATCTCCTCTGAAGGCCACTTTCGAACTCGTTGAGTCACCTTGACCGCCCCCACCTTCTGGAGCATTTTCCTAGCTTCAAAAATCATCTATTGTAACGGGACATGGGCGATGACTTAGTTAGGGTCCCCACTATTGTACAGCATCATATTCCCATCACCCTCAAATTGGGTGGGCGATGCCTTTGATTGATTGATTGATTGATAACCTAGCAGACTTTTATAAACCAAGTATTTTTCGTTTAAGAATGTTCACATGGATCGTCAGCTACGATGTCGTCCATCAGTGGCGCTTATCGAGAAGCAGGGCATAGTTCGGGAGAGAGTGAATCAGTTCCGACGACTGGGAAATGTCACATCAATGCCATTGGAGCCGATTAGTGGCAGGGTGAGTGAAGCTTCTACTTTTCTTCATATCATAAAATTTTTTTATTCAGGATTCGGTTCTATGTTCATCGTTTGTTGATAAGTGAGATTCGTATTTCGTTCCATTATGAGTATTTAGAGCTCTGGTTTGTCGTCAAGGTCCTCTATTGGTACCGGATCTATGGCTGGTGATGAAGAATTCGTTAAACCTACGGCACCACCTGTAACTCATTCACTTAACATGGGTAACACTAGTCGTAGAAATTCATCAACACCTATGATAACTTCATTGCACCTTTCAGGCTCTCCTAAGATTTAAGAATAAGCCGTATGTGTTAATAAATGTAATATTTATCATAGCAATGTGTGTGTGCTGTTACTTTACTGTACATACATAGCTTATCTCTAGGTAATTATCTCTGTTATGTTGCACTTCTATTGCTATTGCTATTGTTTTTTCTTCTCATATGAAGCTCAACGAGTCAAGCTTAGATCGTACAAATACTCGCCATATATGTTGCTCTACTTAATAATGTCTTCATGAGCTCACTTTATTAGCATTGGGTTGGGTTTTATATGTTTGTAGACCAATGCTGATGTCTTCCTACAATGCATTTTTTCAGTATACGCAAGACTCCTCTTTTCTTGTGGCCCTCTACTTGAGTTTAGATTTAGCTCTGCACTAGCGCCTTCTTCACCCATTTTTCATGGGCATCCCCGTTTACTTAGATGAGTTTATCTTTATGTGTACTGGACGGGTACGTATGTACGCTTCGTAACTCCAGCTATCGTTCATAATTGCACGTGTATCTCTTTGCTCCTGCAGTTTTTGCTGCTCTATTTGCTGCATTTCTTGCGTTTTCCTCAAGCAGTTTGATGCCTTTACTCGATCTGCTTAGCTTCTGGAATCTTTCTCAAGTGCTGTTGAATTTATGGTAAACTGTATTAATAGAGACATGAATGTTTACAAGCTTTCTTTGTTGCGAAGTATTAGCGGGAGAAGACGCTTTGACAGTTGTTGGCCTCGGAATGCAATATTATGCAATAGACAAGATTGGTGGTTTAGTGATTTATTGGATTACTATAACCGAGGGCGTGAGAATGTGACCTTGGGACGTGTATGTACAGGAAATGTAAACATCATAGAAGACGTTGAACTTAGGCAGATGTTTACTAAAGGCTACAAATACAGGGCAAAAAATATAGTTACGAAATCTGAAATATTACATCTGCTAGAAGAATTAGCACAACACTTGGCACATAAAATTGGAAAATTTCTCAAGCTACACAGTGCTATAATTTCCTTATTTGAAGTAAAATTCAAGAAATATTTAATAAATAAAGTCACACCTAAACTTTATTGGCTGTTTGAGCAAAATATTATTGAAAACGAAGGTTTTCGGAAGGAGGAACTGCATAGAATATACAGGCATTTCATAGTGACACCAACAGACAAAGCAGGTTCCAATTTTAGCTTTACCTGTAAGAAACTTTACCTGATCATGATAAAAAAAGAACTCAGCCAGCAAAATAATGAAGTTAATACATATGTTAACATACAGTTTATTGTGGATGAAGTTAAAAGCATACATGAAAGAATTCTTCATGGAATAACATTAAGATTAACCCAAAATGTAAAGAAATACCTACAATTTATGGTATTCCCAAGATGCATAAAGTACCTACTAACAAGGAAACCGTGCCGAGTCGAAGTGGCCTTTCCAGATGAGAACCATACTGCTTTGAAGGGTATTAAACGGTGATTCCAAATTTGCCCTCCAAATCTGCTAAGCGCCTCTGGACGCTGTGTTATGACCGTTCTTTGGAACGAAAAATGAATGCAGAATTTAGGTAAAATTGATTGTTACAATCTTTTCAGCGCTCAGATAAAGCAATGTTAAGTATTAGCATATTGAATAAAATGTATCCATTGCATAAACAGCTCTGATATTTGATACTGGAGCATTTAAGCACATTTGGACGATTTTGCTTCAGTTTTGCGTTCAATTTTTTGACCTGAAAAACGAGCATAGCTCGGCGTCCAGAGGCGCTTGGCAGGTTTGGAAAGCAGATTTGGAATCACCGATTAATGCTCTTCAAAGCAGTATGGGTCTCATCTGGAAAGGCCACTTCGACTCGACACGGTTCCCTTGTAAGTTTAGATATATAACTGGAGCCAGAAACAGTACTTTAAAGCCTTTGACTACACTTTTGACACGTATACTCAGTCATATACGAAAACATTTCATGAATTATTGCAACGTTATCTTTCATATAAGCAAAGTTAAACACTTTTGGGCAATAAATAACAGTATAAAAGTAGTTAAAGAACTCAGTGCCACTAGTGGTAACAAAGAACTTTTTTCTGCAGACTTTTCTAACCTATTTACGAGTTACTGAGGAATGCCTCTTTTTTGTTTCTTGTTTTTTCACCGCATTCGGTAGTTAGAGAGAATCTCAATAAACTCATCACACTTTGTATGCGAGGATCCAGATACATCGTCATTCATAATAATCACGTCACGTATTCTAGCATAAACACCAGTAAAGGAACTTACTTTCAGAAAGAAGATATATAGTTTACATGATAGACTCGCTTCTCAGTAACAGTTACTTAAGCTTTGCAGGGGTGATGTATAAACAAGAAAGAGGCATTCCTCAGGGAGCATCGTGTAGCCCTCAAATTGCAGATCAAACTTTGGCATACTTTGAATTCGCATATATCAGAAGAAGAATAGCCAATGATAATGGGGAAAACTTATACACATTCAATAATACATACCGATACATTGATGATATCTTGCACATATCTAGCAACCCAAATGCGTTTGAACAATCCCTGCAAGGTATTTATCATACAGATCTTAGCATAGAAAAAACCAATATAAGTTTGACTGAAACCAATTTTTTGGATCTAAACATAAGGGTAGACTTTAACAATATATTTTTTAGTTTATATAATAAAACAGACGCGACTTTGAAGTTTTGAGATACTCTAGATGGCAGTCGGATATACCCAGATACATAGCTATTAATACTTTCAAATCGGAAACTGTTAGAATATACAGAAATTGTTCAGATTATTTATCATTCAAAACAAGACTTAAACAACTTTGTAAACTTAGTATGAAAAATGGACGGGAAGAAAGATTGTTGGTTAGAGTCTTATGCCATACCTTAAGAGATAATTCTTACATTTTGCGTAAATATGGTTTTAATGTGGCCGTACGTTTACCGCTAATACATGAAATAAGGGAACTCTGGATGGAGTAGTAATCAAAAGAGTTAGAATAGCTATACAGTTTTATTTGATTTATACTATTTTTCATCCGAAAGTGATCTATTAGAAAGCAAGTCAACGCGCCAATAACTAGGTCATATTTGACTTAGAGTATATAAGATCGGACTGTTGGCGGGCCGTTATCATAACATGCACTTTCAATGTAGACTGTTCCACGGACTCTTGGTTCCTCCATATTTCTAATATTTTTCTTCCACATATGCTCATACCTTTTAGTCTGGACTATAATTAACTGTTGTTCCTCTTTCACCCTATTTTTTTGGAAGTTTTCTTGCGAAGTACTGATGAGGGGCAGCAAGAAAACTGCACCACCGGTATACTTCTTAGCCCCGGAACCGGTTGTGTGCAAAAATTGACTTCAGATACTTTCATAACTAGAAGATATACAAGTCATTCTTTATTACTTTTCGTACTCCTTCTCTCTGTTATTTAGGTGAATGTTGTGGTGATAGTAAGTACGAAACACATAGGTACATAGAATAGCATGACATACCCTCGATATCATCCCATATGTCTTCCCTCAACATGACGTGGATTACGTGGCTTGATGAGGCGCCGCTTCGCCTCGGGCTTGCGCCACGTTGCGTGCGCATTTTCGGCGTGATGTGGTAACAAGAAGAACGTGGAAAAGCCTGCGCCACGTTGTGTTGAGCGCCACGTCGCGCCATATGATGCGCTCGCAACGTGGCGCGAGCCCGAGGCGAGGCGGCGCCTCGTTAAGCCACGTAATCCACGTCATGTTGAGGGAAGACATATGGGATGATATCGAGGGTACATGCTGTATTATGGATAGAGATGGCGCGCAGCCACGGACTGCATGCGTTGGTAGCAATGGCGTGCATGACTTGCAGCGTGACGTTATCAAGAGGAAGGGACAGACAGTTCATAATCACTGCAATGATACAATAGGTATGCATGTCTCTGTTGTACGCCGTCAACATACCGATGCCAGAATGATCCTACGAGCCAATATTTCTGCAAATTGAAGAACTGGAAGGTTATTGAGAGTAATGTTGGATTTCGAAACATCCATGTGCAGCAAAGGAAACCTCATTCAGATTACTTGCAGAAAGTGGATTTTATTTAGCGATGGCCTGGAATAAAAAGAAAATTATTCTGGGCAGGTATCTAGTCGAGATGATCGACATTACATGTAAGAATGTGGTGAAAGAGAATGAAGAGATCCATCTTATTGTTCTCGCACCTACACAGACTACTAGCACTGCAACGCCCAGATGTGCCCCGCTTACAAGAAGCTTAATGCGCTCGCAGTTACTGCGATGATCCTTATAACCTGGTACGAAGGCTGTTTCAAAAACATGTAGAACAAGTTATTGACGAACGAACGCGAAACACGAACGCTGCAGAAGATTCCCACAGCTAAACGTTCAAAGCGTTTTCACATTCCAACACCTGAATTTTTAGGAGGCTCGGTAAAATGCTTAAATATATCCGTCGTTGTCTAAACTGCTAAAGCGTGTTGCAATACCGAAGCCAAAAAGAGGTTCTGCGGAGAAATTGGGCATGTTTAATTTTTTAATTAAATATAAATAATAATATTATTAATAATATATATATTATTAATATTATTTTTTAATTTTTTTAATTTTTTTTTAATTTTTAAAAATTTTTTTTTTCTTTTTTTTTTCTTTTTTTTTGTTTTCTTCCTACCGTAATTGACCAGAATGGACATCCATGTGTAACTGACGATGAGAAAGCACACGCATTAGCGTCCTATTTCGCTAGTGTCTTCAATCCTGTTGATCGTAGCAATAGCTTAGAAAGTGGCATGCCGCCTTTCGCTTCCACTCGCCATCTGTCAGATAGCTGCTTCCGTGCCTCCGAGATCCTTAGAGTTTTGAACAAACTGAGACCTTCTTGCTCTGACACATATGATGTAATCCCACAGATTGTGTTCAAAAAATGTGCCTCATCTCTGTGTACACCTCTTGCCCACATTTTCAATATATCCATATTGTTGGGTGAGGTACCGCAGATTTGGAAAGAGTCGCTGATTACCGCAATTCCAAAAGTGCCTAACGCCCTTCAACTAGCAGACTTTCGCCCCATTAGCTTGATTCCAACTGCTGTAAAAGTTATGGAAAATATTTTGCGCGATAGACTACTTTCATGGCTTGCTAAAATCAAAGCGATCCCATCTAATCAGCACGGCTTTATGGCAGGCTCATCAACTGCCACAAACCTTGTTGATTCTACTTACGACTGGAATTTAGCACTAAACAGAGGTAAGTTTGTGGATGTTATCTATGTGGACCTGTCCAAGGCATTTGATAAGGTCGATCACGCAATACTTTTACAAAAGCTAGAGCGACTTGGATTAGGAGGTAATCTTTTGAAGTGGCTTAGATCCTACTTGAGTAACAGAGGCATGACGGTCAGAGTGGGATATCACTTCTCGGATCGACATGCATGCGTGAGTGGTGTTCCACAAGGTGGCGTCCTTTCTCCATTACTTTTCTTGATATATACCGCCGAGCTTCCGTCAATCTTGATCACATCCGCTCATGTTCATGTACAAATGTACGCGGATGACATCAAGATTTACGGATGCTACATTGAACAGAATCGTACTGAAGTCCGCACAGCGTTAAAGAACTCATTGGAAATTTTGATGCGCTGGGCAGTTGCTTCTGGTATTCCTCTCAATTTGGATAAATGCCTTATCATGCATTTTGGTAATCAGGAAAATCCGATTTATGAGATAAATGGGAAGACGCTGAAGAACTGTTCCGTTGCTAAAGATTTAGGCATTCTGGTTGATGCTGACCTCTGTTTCTCTAATCACATAGACAAGGTGGTAAGCAAAGCGTACTCGACTTTATTCACAATCCTTCGGACTATACACATAGATAACCCCTCTGTTTTGAAACAGCTTTATAAGTCCTATGTGCTACCTCATTTAGAATACTGCTCTATAGTTTGGAATCCTTTTTTGAAAAAGAACATATCAAAACTAGAAAAAGTCCAGCAGACATTCACTCGCATTTTGTTCCCAAGATGTCGCAAAAGCATAAGTTACTCCGAAATGCCAAGGTATGAAAATCGTTTGAAACATTTGGCAATGAAAACCTTAGAACACAGACGTATGTATCACGATCTTGTTTTTGCATTTCGACTCTTGTGGAAAGAACTCAGGCTGAATGCAAGTAAGTACTGGATATTTAGACCTACTGCTAGAGCGGGTATGTTCAACATTCATTATCCTCGTATCAACAGAAAGCGTTTTTTGCGTGTTTTTAATAGTTTCTTTTATAGAACCTCCAGGTGGCTTGACCGATTACCTCCTCATGTGCTCTCTGCTCAAAACGTATCTTCTTTTAAGCGTAGCCTTAGGAGTGTCGATCTCATGCAAGTGAATGATTCTTGTTGATTACGGAGACTTCTTGTGCTGTTGTTCCTTTTTACAGGAGACTCCTTCACACTTTTACTGTTTTGCACTTCGCTGTAGTCGCGCCGAGTGTTCTTGATATCAATGAGACTGATTTTACTAGATAATTTCTGTTGTTTTGTGATGTTACTAACAAGCTTGTAGACGTATGCTGATTAGATCAACCAGCTTCTTTCATCTGTTCGAGTTGAAACTATTCTTTCAGCGTAACCCAGTCCCCCCATCTTGGTCAGATATCAATCGCTCATAATTCAATCGCTCATGTTTATTTCTACCACTTTCCTTTCGAATCTTGCTTTCGCCTGAAGCACGTGTTCTTCGGGGTCAAGTCAGCTAGCTTTTACCGGGGGGCTCGCTGACGCCCAAAAATAAGGTCTTAATAAATTTTAGAAAAAGCCAGATCCTAGGAAGTTGGACAAAGCACTTTTCCTTCGCTTTGCTGGTCTTTATAAGCTAATGTCTATCTTCAGTATGGCAGGGGCTTCGGTATCTGTCTTCGTTCTTTTTTGCATAACTCCACTTCCTTCTGTGACTGAGGATTGGTTGGTCTTTTGTCTTTTCTTTTGTGCCCAGATTTTTTTTGTTCTATTTCTGTCTTCTTATTGGTACACCATGAGTGTATATATAAATAAAATAAAATAAATAAATAAATGTTGTAGACATAATCTTACATATGTAAGTTTCCTTTGGAGGCTCGTGGTGAAGTATGGAAAAAGGGACAGAATAAGACATTACCGCCATACCCCTTCGCTCTAAAGAAATTTCTAGACTGCCACTGATATGAGGTCTTCATTGATGGGCGGATTGACATGGAGAGGTGGGGCATTACAAAGGCTTGAAATTTTGATGTTGACTCTTACTTATTCTTGGATGGTCAAAGCCTGCTGTTAAGCTTGGGATGACTATAATAATCTAAGGCTGCTCTGTGCGATGGGCACTGGCGTCTTATATATGTATCTGCACGTAGTGGAATGCCGTCCCAAGGCTGTGTTGCAAATTTTTTGAAAGTTACTCAATTTAGACAAAAATGTGCAAGTGTCTTGTTTACACTTGTAAAGAATTGAAAGAATTTAGAAATTTTTAGAAAGCAACTCAGCTCTGTGAAACTTTTTTGGAGCTTAGCTGCCCACGCCCCCAATTTCTAGAATTTTGGGATTATAGGTGGGTGGCAAAATTTTTGGAAAGCGTTTTTCGAGAAAGTATCTTGTCACCCCTCCTCCCCCCTAAACGGAAATTTTGGGACCGCCACTGCCGGATATATGTAAGGAAGATAGCTCTCGCGGAGGGAGGGAGGGGAGGGAGGGGAGGGAGGAGAATTCGGTGAGCAAATACAATTTTACAGCAATTTTGGCTTCAACTTGCACGTAAGTTGATAGTTGACTATAGGCTTGACGGTCTTGTAGGATTGATAGTCTTCATTATTTATTTATTTATTTACTTATCCATTGTATGATACAATATAAGATCCGATTTGTGCATACACCACCGATAAAATGCAAATAGTAGGATCCAGGACTTTGTTGGTAACCTATTACACGTGAATGTAGTTTTGTCTTCCATTATAGTAAAAAGAAATCCAGGAATTAGGGCAAAAATCGTGCCCCAAAAGTCCAGAAATGAACCGGAAGGAGGAATGTACCGCCATAAAGAGGGAACTCGCGCTTTATCAGTCCCTATATGGATTTGAATATGAGGCCAATCAATGCATGTATAAAAGAGCTGAAGCAAAGTCTTGTATTTGAATGGTCCTCGGACTCCCGTTGTGTGCATTCTAAGGTGAGTATCGTGCTTGTGAATACGATTTTGTTTAGCATTAGCTCTGTTTTCGAATGATGCTTTAGTCTTTTGTTGACGTCTGGGTGAGTAAGTTCGTATGATTTTGGCTTCCAGGCTTCGACACAGGCGAAAGCGCCGAAACGTAAGTACCCTAATTTCACGCGTACAAGGCGCGGGGGATTTTTTTCCAAAATTAACTAGCCCAAATACGCCAAAGAACTTTGCAATCAAAGGACCCTATGCCGTGCTGTATATTGCTTAAGAGAATCGTACGGCTATAAAATGTGCCAGAGGACTCGTTTTTATTTGTAAATAATTAAAATAAATTTTAAAATTTTTTAAAAATTCAAATTAGCCTTATAAAAAATTTTTTTCGGGGGCGTGGCTGCCGCCACACCCCCTTTTTTTGAAGTTTTGGGGTCAGGGGCCCGGAAAAATTTTGGGAAACATCCCAAAAAATTTTTCGGAGTGAATGGCTGACGCCACGCACCTTCATTAGAAAAAAATTTTTTGTCGCGCCCGCCCCCCCCCCCCGAGCCGAAATCCTGGGTACGCCACTGCGGCATAGGGATCGCTTTCCGAAATACTTTGGAGCGGCTGAGGGGCGCGCGTGAAATTAGGGTAAATAAAAGTGATATCAACCTTGTTGAATGTCATTATGGGATTAATGCCGGTTGTCCACCATTTCCAGGTGAGCTTGAAAACAACCTTTTTATCCCAAACTAACGTAGATGAAGTTTTTTTTGCCAAGACAGAAAATACAAGCAGGCTTCAAAAATCCATTGCAGTTGAGTGAAACCTTTGTTGTTATGCACGTCATATACAATTACCTTCCTTGGCATAACACAGAGCACCTAGAACGAGGCACGGCTTGTTTCGTTTCCATGGCTCCCCCTGTCGTTTAGACATTGCTTCATGCGAATGTGTACGTTGAATAGATTCTTTCATGTTTATCACAATATATTTGATCATCTTCGTAAACAACACGTAAATAAATATTAATGCAAATAAGGTATTTTAGCTTGAGTCGCCAAGCTACTCTGAACTTTCCTACAAAATGCTTCGACGCTTATCAAGAAAAGGTTCAACATCAACACAAGGAGGAAAGAATGATGCGCTGGTAAAATTCCTTGAATTCATTGACTCATCGATATGGGCCCTCCCGATCGCGACTTTTATTGAACATCGTTCTGTAGGTAAGTCTCCTTTGCATTTCTGACCTATGTATGATGGACTTTTGTCGGTTAAAGTAACTCATTTATCATATGTATCCATTAAGAGCTATTTTCATCAATGTTTGATCAATCTGAAAAATGATATCGTCCTTTTCAATTATCTGCTAAGCTAAGAGCACGATAAAAATAGGTATCCCTAATCAAAATTGCGTCACCCATTTTTGATATCATTGTCGTATTAAACTTTCGAAGGTGCAGAAAAATATGAAAACTTACATCAAATCTTTTTTTATGTAAATCGAAGGGTTGGGAGGTAACGTAAGGCGTAACATCTGGCTGTAGAATGATGAGGTAAATCATTTGTTTTTTTTTATAAAAAGTCATTGCATGTTTTTTGTAATTTTTTGAATATCAAATCTTTTTATACAAAAGGAAGTCTATTGGACCTGTTCTGGAAATCAACAATCTTTTCCCTTAGAAATAGATCCTGTGTCCTTGATTATATGACATCCATTGCAACTTTTGTAATGATGCATAACCGACCGAAATCTCCGCTCATAGTTCTTTATGATACAGTATCTCAGGAACAGACCGTGAAATGCAACAAAACTACTGACTGCAAATTGGCATATTGAAATTGCACAGAAATTGACAGCCCAGATGGGCAAATTTTACGCTTTCTATTTTCTCTTGCAATTTGAATTGCTCCGAGACCCCTTATTTCCTGATTGCTGTTTACATCTCCTTTTGCCCGTAATTGCGCACTTCCCACCCGTACGCATGAGAATAATCTAACGTTGAAATAAGAGGGAAATTACAGCTTGTTTTTCTGTGGATTGGACGATGCACAAAAGAATAGCAACTAAGCGAAATTATGTGTTGGAAGTACATTTATCATTAGAGTGGAGGTTTAATCAAACAAGAGGCCTAAAATTACCGGAATACATTACCAAAATGATATTTTGTTTAAGGATTAACATTGGGACAAGGCGCGAAAATCCTCCATGATAATGTTCCCAACTCTTTTTACTCATGATTTCCCCGAGAATTTGGTCTACCCAGCCATTGCCAAGACTTTTTTCCACAAACCCATAGGCTACAATGCAATTTTCTTATTCTCAACTGCGGCTGGGTTTTCAATCGCGTCAGCTTGTAGCTGCAAAGCATTGAACTCAGTCTTTGCTTTGTGGTGTCAGAGAAAGCTGCAAAAATAATTTTATAAACATTGTTATAACAATGGAAAAAAAATGTAGGAAATAGATAAAGGATCCCAGTTCTATATCATTATACATGTATGGGGATGTAAACAATTATATAATTTTCTATCTCACAAAATCATAGGTTAATGCTTTACATCGTGCTAGCGATTTTTTTTGCTTGTAGATAGTTAGCATATTTTCAAGAACATAATAAACTTTTACTCAGTAGCAATTCTCTTTGATCATTAGCTCTGAGTCTTCGTTCAAAAAGAATTTCTGTCGCCTTTCCTCTCTTCAAATTTTTTTTACTAACGGATTTCAGGAGAATGCAAATTGGTGCTATTTATAGTAAAAAAGTTAAAAAGAAAACAGAAAGAGGTATCACCTTATAGAATGAGAAAATATCCTACCCCTCATCCTTTAAGCGTAATTATTCAGTATCTCATGAGCAATATTCGTCACTTTTTCCATCATTTTCAAAGCTTCCGAACTAAATTCTTCAACCTTGCCACGCTTGTTTTGCAAGGTTGTAATGAGGAAGGGGAAAGAAGAAAAGTAATCACATCTTAAGAACACAGTAGAAATCTTTCAAGCACTTAGCCTAAATCTGTGATGTTTGATGCAACTAATTCTTTTCATTCCACATTGCTATGTTGCTGCTGCTCGAGGACAAAGAGCACATATTTTCTCATGGCTGTCAGGAGATTACACTATGTACTAATATATTCGGCTTGGATGCCAGGACGATAATAGCAACGCGTTTTCGTTGGCTTTTGTTCTTGAAAATTCTTGGCAGGGAGCGGAGGAGGGGGGGGGGTCAAACGAAGCTGGGTATAAGTAAAAAAGCTATGAATAGTATTAAGGGCTAACTTGTTACAATTTCGAGTATAAATAATAAAAATCTGCACGTTACGGGGATTCTCTGCGCGCAAATCACAAGCAAATTGGCGGCAATCACAAAATGATATTTATTACCGCGCATATGTTGTCCTCACCGCAGGAGCACTATATTGGTCGAAATCAGAGGTGCGATAGGGGGAGCCGGGTCCCCCAAAAGTGAAGGTGGTTTCAGCTACCACTGGCCGGCCAAAAGTGAAGGTGGTAGTGTCGGACACTCACCTCCCAAAAACGTCGACGGGGGGGGGGGGGGGGGGAGGTGCGGGGGGAGGATAGAACGGACGAACGGAGCTATCTTTCTAGGTCTAACGTCGACCCAACGGCCCTCTTTAGGGCCACAGATACGATGAATATTAAAAATATCTATAAATTTTATTTATAAAAATTTAAAATAGACGTGTTTAGTAAATGGTGTATTTGGAAGTAGAAGTTTGTTGGACTGTACGGATTTTATTAAGCAAATTTTGTTATAACGTACAGCGAAGAAAGTAGATCGATCCAGGCAGTAACGGCCGAGAATCAGAATTTCGAATAAATAAATAGTGAAAAATCATGCAAAATTTCCACTGTTATAAATCTGTTGTTTGAAGATGTCAGCAGTTGCGACTTCATAGGTTTTAAAGAGTAAATGTTGCTCTATCAGCTAGTGAAGGAATCTGGTCGATTTAAGAGATAGTCGTTGAAAACCAGAGTTCTAAAACTTTACGCCATTTTTGCGTGTTTTTTGACTGTTGAGAGTTAAACTCTTATAAATCTTGAATGTGGAAGTGTATGATGTTGCGACTTCATAGGTTAGATTCTTCTCGTCAAGAGCTTTCAGATGATATATAATATGTGGGGGTTTCGCGCCTCTTACGGCATATGCCCGGGGGGGGGGGAGACTTTTTAGGCCAAAGTCTCCCCCGGCAGCCTCCAGCCAATACATTAAAATGGGCGAGGGGGAGACTTTGGCCTAAAAAGTCTCCCCCCCCCGGTCATAATTCGCAGGAGGCTCTAAACCCCCACATATTATATATCATCTGAAAGCCCTTGATGAGAGGAATCTAACCTATGAAGTCGCAACATGATTCGTGCAATCCTGAAGAAGTTATGAGCTGTTGAAGTTCAAAAAGCTCTTTTTTACCTGCTTTTTCATGACTCTGGATCTCGGAGGTGTTTCAATGGATCGAAACGGACAAGACATATTCTGATAAGGCAAACCTTACTCTATAAAACCTATGAAGTCGCAACATCATACACTTCCACATTCAAGATTTATAAGAGCTTAACTCTCAACAGTCAAAAAACACGCAAAAATGGCGTAAAGTTTTAGAACTCTGGTTTTCAACGACTATCTCTTAAATCGACCCGATTCCTTCACTAGCTGATAGAGCAACATCTGCTCTTCAAAACCTATGAAGTCGCAACTGCTGACATCTTCAAACAACAGATTTATAACAGTGGAAATTTCGCATGATTTTTCACTATTTAAATATTCAAAATTCTGGTTCTCCGCCGTTACTGCCTGGATCGACCTACTTCCTTCGCTATACGTTATAACATAATTTGCTTAATAAAATCCGTACAGTTTTGCTAAGCTTTACTTCCAAATACACCATTTACTAAAAACCTTTATTTTAAATATATATGCCGCCGTATACATAAATATATGCTTTCAATAATCTTTTTTGCGTTTGTTTTGCTTTTTCCTTCTTTGTCGTCCAGCGAAAAATTTTTTATTCCAAAAGTGAAGGTGGTCACCCCGTACCAGCTCAAAAGTGAAGGTAGGGGGAGACTTGGCTCCCCCTATCGCACCTCTGGTCGAAATCCAGTGGATTGTACACGATGATTATTTGTTACAGCGTTCGATCGGCAGCAAGCGGATGTTTCGCTATTTGAGAACATTCACAAAGAATTTCGAGAGTTGGTGGACACACTCGTCGAATGCTTCTGTGCAGATACAAACATACCATTGGAGCAGCTACGAGCAGAATTGAAATCTGCAAAAGCCGATCAGCTGACACTCCATCAAAAGGTTCCAAAAGTTTTTTTTCTCAGGCTCTATGGTAACCGCGGTTATAATTTAGACTAGCCTTGAACCAGTGGCAGCTGCACAAGACTTCAATGTATTCGTGCCTATGATGATGAGAAAAAATGTCGAACTGCAGCTGCAAGCCTTACAGATGATTGAGGTTACTTTTTTTGTTACATGAGATACCAGATTAAGATCAAATTTCAGTTCATGTGCGGTCTTATCCCTTCCGTGCTTCAAATCGAGGAAGGAGAAAGTTTCAAAAATAAAGCTAAAATAATCTCACCTGAAGAGACTGAAAGATATGTGCTCATAGCAGTAATGAGGTATGCTATCCTCTTAAAATGATGTCATAATAACAATTTACCGATAGTAATAGTGATCTACATATCTTTGCCGAAGGTTCCTCATTTCGTGACTTATACATCCTCATAATTTGGGTGTAAAAAACAAAACCGCAATAATCCTACACATTTTTACTAAAGCTAATTGTACATCCAGCAAATGCTTATTACTGTACTATACTTTATGTCCATTTTAGCGGAAAAATTACACATTCATGAAGTAAGTCGCACTTGTCAGTGTTTCAACCTACACATAGTACTTTTAGTAAACTTTCTATGGGACTTCCTGGTCAAATTGTGTATAGGTTTGCTTCATCGACATCTTTGACAGAATTTCTGCACGAAGACAGAAAATAATTACTATCCTAATTTCACGCATACAAGGCCTGGGGGATTTTTTTTTCCAAAATTGACTAACCCAAACACGCCAAAGAACCTTGTACGCGTGAAATTAGGATAATTGATTATAATTTTTTCACGCATGTTTCATTTAATTCTTGACTCTGTACTTTCCCAAAAGAGTGGTTTAATCCAGATTGGGAGAAAAAACCCGATTTTAAGCAAATATGTCCAAAAATGCTGTGAACTACTCTGCCCAATTTCTTGTAACAAAAAGTGCAATTTGTGCAAACTGCGTCAATTCAAGCAAGAAAAAGAGTAAGTCAAGCGGAGAAAAACCGCAGTAGTTTGGAACGAATTGAACATGACTTGTAGTTAGCAAAAGTTCTTGTACATTAAATACTAGCATATACACAGCGGAAGTGGAATCACATAAGTGGTCACAAAATTATGAGTGAATTACCAACTGTAATATTGAAAAATTTCCAAATTTACCGGGATATTTGAGGATAAGTATGTTATCGATTCTCTTCTCTGATCTCGGCATAAAATTGAATAGAATCTCTATACCAATCATAGAAATGGGAATATCGTTGTAAAGCTTAGCAGGTCGTCAAGGAAAAATTTACGAGCAAGAGGTAACATTAAAAATTCTCATTTATCTAGAAAACACAACTTTTCAACGATTCAAAAGCGAATATTCTTTTTTCCGTTCAAATGTAGCTGACCGTGATTCTGTGTGTGTTTACAGACAGAGCAAAGAAGAATTCGACAACCTTAGCCGACGTGAGATGGAAGAGTTGGAAGAAGTGCTTCGTAGTAGCGAAGAAGAAAGGAGACGTCTTGAAGAAGAACGAGCGAGAGAGCAAGCAATTATGTCTAAAGCTCTGGCCATAACTGATGGGGTGAGTGTAAATAACAAACGTAATTCAGTAGGCTTGACTCTTATTGAAGTTGCAACGCTGAAAATCCCACTTAAAAATGGTGCCCATTTTCAATTTTTGCCCCATGACCAATTTAACGCGCTAGTGCTATTGGCAGCGCAGAAGCACTATACTAACCGTCAAATCCATAGCGATGTTGATGTTTGTATAAATATATAACGAGCATAAAAGCATCTTTCAGGCTCAAGCGTCAGACGGGCAAAAAAGGCCGGACGACACAGCAGTATGTGCTACGGGAATAGAGATACAACAGCGTAGTGAACCCTCTGAAGAAGTTGAAAAAGCGATCACCAAAGCATCCCGCGACATTTCTGAAGTAAAAATCCAAAGAACACCATCAGCCAAGAAAAAGCGTGGAAGTATTAGCGAAAGGCCGCCCTCGCCAAAAATCTCTGCGCCTGTAGAGAAGGAGCGAAACGAAAATGCAGGGCCAAAATCTCCTTCTGTTAAAACCGCTGATGAAACGCAGAACGCCGATAGACCGTCTACAAAAAAGTGAGGTGATTATCTAATCAAATCAGTAAGTGAGATTTACATTTAGAGAGGGGCGTCCCCCGACTACAAAAAGGCCGAGTTCGAAAGAGAGGAGAGCTTCCTTAGGCGCAACCAAGGAAAGACGAGTAAGTGTAATAGTCCACTAAGAACAACTAATGTTTTATAGTAATCAGATCAAACTTTTGCGTTCACGTCCCTTATTGGTTAGAATGTCTTGTGTTTGGGGAAGGGAGCTGGGAAACAAGATTTTCAAATAAGCTTTTTGACTTTTCAAGTAGTTTGAAACATTATCACCGTGTTTCTTTAAAGGTGTGCAGGAACCTTGTTATTTTTGAAATAGAGTCTGGAAATTGTCCTTTTTTCACTATTCATTATTTCCTGTATCTCATAACTCATGACAACAAAATTCGAGCTCTCCTCTCCCCCGTTGGGATCTCGTTATTATATATTTATCACTCATTATGTGATGCATAATTACAATTTCGTATCTATACTGCAAAATCTTGTTGATCTCTAATGCCAAGCAATATAAGCTATTTTGTAACAATTATAAAATAATCAGGTATCCCTTGGAGGTTATGTAAACTTAGCAATTTATAGTTACCTCTTAATTATCTTAGTCCCGCTCTAAATATTGCGAAAGTAACAGGCGATTAGACTTCTTTGTAAAATGAAGCATCAGAGAAGCATTGCAGCCATCTACTGAAGCAAGAAAGCGAAAAGACGAATCTAAAACGGGGAAGAAGACAGCAAATGGAGAGGAAGACGAGGGACTATGGCAAGGGCCAAGAACGAAGAATGTTTATGATGTTAACGTAAGCTCTAGTCCTTGAGTCGCTTATAGAGGGAATGGCGTTGAAGGGAAGGGTCAGAAGTTGGATTAGTCAATCTAAACAAGCTGCAGACCATTTGGCACATCATAAAACATCGACTTAAATCTGTTTCCCTTATCTGATGAACGCTTTGTGGAAGGTGCTAGAAGCTATTGCGAAGTTATCTGTATGCAAAATGCAAATTTGGCTGTACAGGGCCATGTTCGGCTAGATGCTGGGCCAAACAAGTGGCTTATAGAAGTAATAAATACGTAATTTTGCTATGTACAATCTGCTGATTACTGCATATAACTTCTTTTAAAACGGGGTTCAGCAGATAAGAAGGACAGATTTGGATTTAGCGTTTATGCTGCAGCTCATGGTATGCAATTGGTTCAGATGAGCCACCTCAACTTCTAATCATTCCTTGGAAGAATCTCCAGAAAGTGTCGGAACATGTACGCTTGTGAATGGATTAGTTTCCTGATTGTAGGCTCTCTTACAAGAACCATCACGCTTGAATTCTGCACAATTGCGAAGCCGAGCGGAATATTTGCGAATGCAAAGAGATCGCCTCCTTGCCTTGAAAGCATCGGAAAGAGAAAAACAGATGAACGTAAGCAATCCCAGAATCTTCCATAGGATCCACTTGCTTCATTTCAGGAGGTAAGCCAGCGAGCTGCCCAAGAACGACCACGAACTGCAAAAGCTGCTCGAGGTTTGATGCGTGGAAGCCGGGGTGGAATCGACCACGACGATGTTTTGGCTGCTCGTCGTGAAATTGTGGAGAAGCTGAAGACTGAGATTGATGGAAAAGCAGATGATGCATAAGTGTGATGAATTTAATAAGCAAAAACACTAAAATTTTATTTCTGATTGTATAAACATTTTTCTCTTATGTTGTTCGTAACATTTCCTTTGATGAGAAATTTCAAACCCTAGTAAATCTGCATCACAGCAGCTCAGCTGAGGCGGACATGAAAAAACTTGCGGCGCTTCAACTGTGTATCAATCGACCATCGATTTTGGTGCGAACTGCTCTGTAGCCAAAAAGACTGCATGTATTTTCGAAGAAAAGTGCATTTGTTTGGTTTGGTTTGGTCAAATAGATAAAACTCTGCGTTTGCAAAGGGGCCATGGTTCGGCTTGCGATGACGCGGCAATCTCAGTTATCGATTTTGATAATTTTAATAATTCGATATTAGTCTTTACCTTCTCACGATTTACAAATATCATCATCAATTACATGCTACACATTCCCCGTCAGAAGTTATCCAGCAGTCATCATTTACGGCTTTTATCAGCTGCCGTTGGTAAGCTTTGTTGATTATTTCGACTAATTAGAAAATTCTATAAGATTTGTTACATAGATCAACTTGAAAGTGGGAACAAAGTCAAAGTCATTCTTGCCTTCTTCTCCCACCCTTACATGATTCATATTTTCTTCTACTTATCATTTCTTCTGTGAGGTGGCACATCGTTTGCACGATGTAATTCAATAAAAATAATCAAATAATTGATGACCGGTTTAAAAATTTAGCAAACGTCTAGCAAACGCAGAGGTAAAAACGAATTTGCAGGATGAATTAGATAGCGTGAAATATTCACAATTTACTGGTGCCAGAGCGGTTTCAACATCTTCCTCTCCGCTAATCATACCTAGAAAATTCAGCTTTGGTACAATTTTGCTCTAAGGAAACATGCTACACAGCCAATACATGACTAATTTCTCATTGCAAAGCATAACGAAAGCATTCCTCACTCGTGACATTAGAGAAAACTGTTGAGGAATGATGTGATATGAATCTAAATGAATGATACGACATCCCATCTGTTTATGTCAACAAGTCAGCTATACATAGTCATGACAGTCGTACACTTCTTAGTCTTGTGGCTTCCTTTCTCGGATAAAGACTCCTCTGCATCCGCTCTGGTACATAGCAAAAACTTCGTAAAAATCTCGCGAATTCGAAAGCTTTCCGTTTACAAGATTACCAGGTTCCAGCCGTATCTAGTCAGGATGCTTCAGCGATGTCTTCCTGCGGTTCCTTGCCGCGCACGATGAGTACACAGGCAACATAGTGCTGTGGACGCAAACTTGGAGAGGAGTGAGTTGCGTATTGGATTACCAGACATCAGGGCCCGGCACAGATCGTCTGGAAGCAGGCTGGACTTCGTTTTCGGAGCAAAAAACAAAGGAGATATCGTTTTTGACGAGTCAGGGTCGAGCACCAAGAGTAGGCGCCATTTAGTCGAACACAAGCTTTTCGAACCATACGACTGACATGCTCTATCGTGTATGGCGAAAAGTGCGCGCGATTTGAAAGCAAGGCTAAAATAAACAAATTGCTTGTTTACAGCGCACACAGGATCGTATGGCACCAAAATTGAACTGTATACATAGGAAATTATTTGCAAAAGAATTATGCAGAAAGATTTGAAAATTTATGTGAAGTACTACCTTTTTCAAAGTTAGTCCGTCACCAGACGATCTGAAATCGTCTGGAGCATATATTTCTATCACTTCACATAAGTTTCGGATTTTTCTGTCATGGACGGATTCCAGAGTCAAAAATCTATCGCTGAGCATAAAAGCATTTTCATACCACTGCCTTTCCTTTATTTCTTTGCCTCAATTTCTTCCTAAATCGTTTTGTTAAATATCGCGCTCCAATGCCAAACTCTTGTGCGTAGTATTCAGCTCCAACTTGAATTTTCACTCTTATCTCAAGTTTTTTCTTACAAGCTAGTAAATCTTTCTTGTTTCCATCTTTTCCTATAGGTAGGTTAGTCAAAGGGGACTTCGTATAATTTCCGAAAATCATGGAAGACTTCGTTTTCAGAAGCTCTAGAAACCGACTCGTGCCGGGCCCTGCCGACCATCTCCTGCAACGGTTGTGTGTTCTTCTCAATAAACATTTCACCGAAACCTCTACCATCTTTATGTATCACATGTGCACATAAACTGACGTGCTGTTCAGCCTCCTCATGGGATGTTCAATCAAGTGTAGCAAAGATTAGATAAGATTTCATTGTAGCTGTGACCAAGCAGATGATAAGCATAAGTACGTACAATGGTATTCCGAAGTTAAGAAAATATCCCTTTTTCTGAAACGTCGGTCTTGAATATGTCAAAGATATGTGCCAACTCCGTCACTTTTGATCTCTCGTGATAGATTTTCTAAAAACAAAAGTGATCAATCAACTAATCAAAGGGTTGTTTCAGACTGCCGCACTGACTGCAGCAGACTGCAGCTGACTGCAGCTGACCGCAATGACCACACTGACCGCACCGGTCGCAGCCTCTTTTCTTAAAAGAAAAAACAACCGCGACTATCAAACAGCGTGATTCGCGCATAAGAAGATCATAAGTTCCATCAGAATTCTTCTCAATCAAATTTTGGCGATAGTTTTCTTTGGTATGTTCGTATTTGTCCTAATTCTTCCTATCATTGCATATACCTGTTTTGTAACATTGTAAACCTTGTTGTCTTTTGCTTCTACGTATATATTGTTGTTTGTTTAAAGCACAACTATTTATCCTCTCCGCCTGCAGGCTTCAGCCGCTGCGGTCGTTGCGGTCAGTGCGGTCAGCTGCAGTCTGCTGCAGTCTGCTGCAGTCTGCTGCAGTCAGTGCAGTCAGCTGCAGTCTGCTGCAGTCTGCTGCGGTCAGTGCAGTCAGTGCGTCAGCTGCAGTCTGCTGCAGTCTGCTGCGGTCAGTGCAGACTGCTGCAGTCAGTGCGGCAGTATGAAACAACCCAAATTAGCGAGAAAGAGGAGGCAAACATTCTTACTTCTATGCAATCCACTATTGACATGATTTTGATGAGACGAGCAGCGTAATTCGGCATTCGCCTTGTATTAGTGTAGTAGCTATGTAAGTTATCAGATATGCTTTCCGTGTACGACTCAGCTATTAGCAAAGTTTCAGGTGCCACGGATCTGCCTAAATTTTCAAGCTCAACATTTTCTATTGTACACATCTTCTTATGATTTTACTAGCTCTACTATCGCTTGCATGGAGACGCGCGTAAGTTTTGCCTATGCTGAGTTTGAGCAGGAAAAAACAGAGAGTAAGTCTTTCTACTTTAGAAGATTGATATCCTTGACAGCAAATTTCACATGCGCCCAACATGATGCAATCTTACTCTATTACAAGCTTGAATGATTACAATTTGTACAGACTCAACACACACATAGGCACCGTTACTAAACTTGACGTACCTTCAACATGCCACACCAAAGCGCACAGTATATAAGCAACCTCTATTGTTGTGATACCCATTTCCAAGCAGGATTTCGTAACTTCCTCAACAACACGTCCAGCAAAAGGCTCAAACAAACTTAAATATAAGCTTACATGCAAAAGTTTTTTTTGCCGCATTAGCAAAACCACCTTCTTACATACGATGGATCGTAATCAGTCAGTGGAGACAAGTCAAATTGCATGGTTTTGTCATGCACCATTACGTTCTGAGACGAGACTGCCAATAACTGAAGTAGCCTATATTGATTTTACAGCTTTTGCGTGGATAGTTTGTTTGGTAGAATGACCCAGAACACATTTGTTTTATGTTAGGCCATTTTGTAAAAGCAATAGACTGGCCAACTCTAACTACTGTCAAGTGCTTGTGCTGAGGCCTGGGGTAGACCTAGAACTCGAGCGTTTCCCAGCGCATTTCGGCCCTAGTATGTAACTTGTCATAACCACGGAATGTAGTTAAGAAGCATGAACAGACTGCATCAAGTCAAAAAATTTGAGCTACAACAAGCTAGCTACTACTGGCGCACTCATGATGCACTTGAAGACAACTAGCAAGCTTCGAAATCGTGTGAAAACCAATATTGCGCGAATTATGTTAGATAGTGGGTGCCTCATATAAACATTAAGGCGTTGTGCAATTTACCATGACGCTGAAGTCAATGAAAGCGGCTGTTATATCAGTGTAGACAGGTCGGCGGCAGATGACATTATATTGGAACACGCGTGAGAAAGAATGCAAGTATCAAATTATTTGCGAACTGTCACTGACTTGGCTTTATTCACCCTAAGGTGTCTCATGTGGAAATTTTTATGCGATAAAAAGCAGGACGAAAGTGATGCTTTCTTCTGTCTTTTCAAGACAAGCATCTTTTCACCTCAAGCGTTGAAGACGGAAGTTGGAGTTGCGCTCAAAGTTTGTGCGCAAGCGCACTAACAAGGGAAGGAACTCAGATAATCGCCGGGGGCAAGCGGCGATGCGATTTATGGGCAGGCGGGCACCGGAAAAATAGTTCGTTGATTTTTTGCGGCCCGCTTGCAGAAATTTGGAAGAAAGTTGGCGAAATTAAAGACGAAAGCTTGAAGAACAACCGCGGTTTCTTTATGGATTAGCTGCGGCGCAGTGGCCGCATTCTCGCGGACTTTCCGCGAGAATATGCAAAAATTTCGAGGGCCGCGCGGTCCTTTGTGGAGGACCGCTCAACCCTCAGGTACTTTCCGCTGAGAGAAAGTACCTCAAACTTGAGTAACTAAACCAACGGTGACACCTCTGCCACACAGAGTCTTACCTGCGCTCGACGTACGCCCGAAAATGCCTAAAAAGAGTCCGAGCGCTTGCTGAAAATTTGGCCAGCGCTCGCTGAAAGAAATTATTTGCGGAGCGCTTGCAGGAAATTTTGTATTGCTGCCCGCTGGCAGAAGACGAAAGTACCGCCCGCTGAAGGTTTGGCCACGCCCCAAAATTCTGCTGACCGCCTGCAGAAAAGCGCGAGTTTGCGGACCGCCTGCCCCCGGCGATTATCTGAGAAGGTGGGTCGAAGTGGCCTTTCAGAATAAGATGGGTATCACATTGTAGGGCTTCGAACGCTGATTTCAAATCTGCCTTCCTTATCTGCGGCGCGTTTTTGAGTGAGGAGTTATGAGAGTTTTTGAGGGGCGGAAGTGGATACAAGTACAATTAAGGACAGCATATTGCCGTGTGCGGTCTGGTGTAGTGGTTAGTGTGGTGGTATTGCAAGCAGAGGCTCCCAGGTTCGAATCTCCTGATGTGATCACCCTTTTGCTGGTCTACAAAAAATTTGTCTGAGCATGAACAGCGTCCATACACCACCCCCTGTTTCTTTTATCAGAATCTCAGGGCAACAACTGCTCTCTCTGAAGGTCTTTGCAAGTGATTAAAGTGGAGGTAGAAATGTCAAAAGAATCAATTTGTCTAACACCCCGGTGAACGTAAGAGGTCACAATGTTCTCAACATACAAAAACCCACGTTCATAGTTGGTAAAGCTGAAAAAACGCACGTAAAGTTACGCAATCAAAAACTCATTAACCTACAAGATATTCTCGCCTGTTCTCTTGGCTTATTCCTGGTACGCCAGCGGTTACCTTGATGCACATCCGAGAGCTTTTGAAACGCCCGCCTGCCCTCCCGCACGTATGTTTTGCACATTTTGTCCTCTCCTTTCATCAGTGCACATAAACGTTCAAAAACATAGAGTAATAAAACTTTTTTGAAGAGATTTGCAGTTAAAAGAAGGAAGAGTTGATGTATAGACGATACGCATGCTCATACAAATTTTTTGTAGACCAGCAAAAGAAAAACCACAGTAGGAGATTCAAACCTGAGAGCCTCTCCCTGCAAGACCACCACACTAACTACTACACCAGACCGCACACAGCAATGTGCTGTTCTTAATTGTACTTGTATCGACTTTCGGCCCCTAAAAACCCTCATAACTCCTCGCCCAAAAACGCGCCGCAGATAAGGAAGTCAGTTTTGAAATCAGCGTTCGAAGCCCTACAATGTGTTACCCATCTTATTCTGAAAGGCCACTTCGACCCACCTTCCTTCCCTTGTGAGAGAGCAAAGCTGAAGACAAAGGTTCACGGAAACTATGTTTTCAAGTCAAGCCAGATTGGGCTCAATGTCTGGGATTAATTGTAGGCGCCATGTGACTCTTCTGTACCATTGAACTTACATTAGGAATAAAATATCATTCCCAGTTATGTGCGGAAAGCAAGTCTACGTACTTCAAACGTGAAACGGCAGGTTGCAAGCACAACAACAAGCGAGCTAGGGGTTGAAGGCAGTGTATCAGATTTGAAATTTAATGGATTTTTAGAGATTTTAGACCTCCTCATTAGGCCAATGCTCAAGTCTCATTCGATAAGGCCTCGCCTACTTTGAGAAAACAGCTCAAAGTGGCGCACAAAACTCGCTCAAAACGCGATAAACAACTTGTCTTTTTTTCTATCACTTTTTAAGAAGTCTTTCCAAGCCACTCCTTCCATCTTGAAATGTCTGACCCTTCGGCTAAAGCTAAGGTAGACCGGGACAGTTCGTCCGTTGCTTCTACGGGGCCTTCAAACAGCGGGATTTTTTGTTTTTTCGAGCGGATTTGAGCCTGTATAGAAATAGCAAGGGGAGGGACGGCCTGTAAGTTGCACATGTTTTAAGATCCAAATAGTGGTGAGACACTGCTTTAAGAGCCTTCCCATCTTCATAGTCTAGATCATGTTTGATAGAATATCAAGCGCTTGAACTTTTAGCATTTTGAAAAGACTTGTTCAGTTGGCACTATATCTTCAAAGCTTAATCAGCTATGTCAATTTTTGAGCCCTAATAGTTTAACCTTCTTTATTTTTGGAGATCAATAACAAATGCTATGTGCTCACCCTCTCAGTAACTGTTCTCCATCCAAATAGCTCTATTGATATTGACAACCGTTCAAACTGCTGCCAAATCATCCATGATGTTTTGATCATCGTCATCTTCAAAATGTACGTTTTTTACGAAAGAAAATAGACCTTGTACGCATGTTCTTCTCGACGAAAGCGGAGAAAACACCCAATTAGACCTTCTCAGCTTTGCCAAAGCTGCAGTCTAACTACTCCGCCAAGGTAAAATTTGCTAGGACATTCGGAACTGGGTTTCTAATTGATGGAGTAGACTTAGGACCAAATATTGTGCACACATCGCTGAGTACCTTTTCCTTCATCGGGAGCTGCGCGAACTCATCGCTATTCATCAGCCATTTTCCCATTGTACAGATTTGCTCTTCCCATCCTTTCATCATTTGCTCAAATGAAACAGTTGTCACAAGCTGAAAGGAGTATGTCTTGTTGAGAGTAGTCATTAAACTAATTATACTTTCAAGTTGGGTTCCGCTAACTGGTGCTCTCGAATTTTGAGCAAAGCAATGTGCATCCGATCTGGCGGTCCGCTGGGAAGATCTTCGTCTGGTCGGGACTGAAAAGATGTTTAGTTTCAGAGTACTGCATGGTTAAAAGCTACCTCCATCAATGTTTTCATTAGCTTTTCCATAATAGGAGAGACATCGAGTAACATGCGAGGTTGTCCTGTTTTCTTCACCCATATTGAAAAATTGTCGCCCTAGAAAAATTTTGGTGATCATAACACAAGTCGGGCACAATCATTGTTTAAAATGTTAAGAAAAATGATTTTTTAACTTGATCTGCATCTTGTCGCTTCTCTCAAAATTGGTAGATCAGGTAGTCCAATAATTCATGTATTATTGAAGGTCTGACGAACGCCAATCTTGCCTTGGTCAATCCATCCTTTCGCATATTATTAAGTGTTGATTTTACGTTTTTCTCTTCGGATTGTGATGCTCCTTCTGCATGCCCCTGAAGATTCATTCTATGTTGGTCATGCAGGTAGAATGGTACTCGTGTACGTTTCTGTCTTTTTTTGCTATAAGTAAAGGAGCGATCACACTAACCCTGCTTTTTCTTGAGATTCGTTTTCCCACTGTAGTTGATAGCACATCTCTGTTGAGTTGTACATCTAAATCTGAATAGATCCGTCAACGCTTAGGTTCTTTAATATTCATATAGTGGGTTTCACAATCATAAGAGCCATGTTAACTAGTCATAACGGGCTCAGCATTTTGGAATAGAGTATGCTTTTGCGCAGAAAAAGGACACTATTACATATGACACTCACAAGGCGAGGGTACTTAGTCGAAAGCCCCAATCCAAATGAGATATATATCATCTTGAAGCGCTTGAAAGGCTGATCCCAAATCTGTAGATTCTAAGAGCGGAGCGGTTTTGTAAAAGAAGTTTTGAATGGTGTTTCCCTCTGTTTCTCTCTGTTTCCCTCTGGTGTTGAGGCACCCTCCAGCAGGTCTCCCCCTATCCATGAGCATTGTAGAAGAGCACCAACTAGTGGAAATTAGCTTAGTGGTAAGTGACTTGCTTGATAAGGATAGTATCAAGGTTTTAATTCCCTTCGCATGCAACTTTATCACAATTTTGCAAAATTAAGCTTCTTAATGGCTTTGGAGCCCTAAGCTTGAAGTTTCTGATGATATTGATGCTAATCGAACTAAAGTAACACGAGTATTATAATCCTTATTATAGTCTTCACTCAAATTACCACTAGGCAGTTGCCACCAGATGGTATTCCTCTACAATGCTCATAGATAAGGCAAGGCCTGCTGGAAGTCGCCTCAACCTTAGAGAAGAACACCCCTCAGAACTCCTTCTACAAAACCTCTCTTCTGCTGAGAACTATGGAATTCTAATCGCGTTTCAAGCGCTTCAAGACGATATATGTCTCAACTGGATTGGTGCTTTCGACTAACTGGCCTCTCCCTGCCAGAAATCTTATGTTATGCTTTCTGATGTGAAAGAAAAGCCAAGATGGTCTCCGGACGCATGGAATCGAAAATACCACAAGCTTAAACAAACACTCAGCTTAAACGAATACGTCAAAAATTCAACAACAAGTCGTCTTGTATAGGTTTGTGGTAGCCATAAAAGAGTGTCAGTTCTAGTGTCAACGACTAAAAGGCGAATTTTAGAGTAGGCAAGCTTTACAAGCTGCTCTGCAGACAATCTTCCTAGTTCCTGTGGAATGTTAAGAACAAGCGAAAGATCTGTGCCGACTCTTCCTACGCTGTTGACTATGAGTTCATAAGCAATGTGAAGTTGCTTTTTCCACGGTGTGTATAGGACCAGTTAAGCAATAAGCGTCGGCAAGATAAAGGAAAGAACACCTCAATTAGGCATTAGGCACCATCTCCGCGAACTGCTGGTGCGAACTGCTGGTGCTTTCGTCCTAATGTTGTATATCGTGTTGGGACCTGTAGTCCGCGGAAGCGGTGCCTAATTAAATTGTTTGTTTCCTCCACCCTTCGGATCAAGCTGGACTTCGTTTTTAGGCTAGAAAGCAGAGTATCAAAAAACCTGTTTAAAGGCGGCGTCCAGGCAAGATCCACCCTCCTAGATTGGCATATAGTTGTAAAGCGGGCCCCATGAGTATCCGATCTGCACTGGTCCGGTCCTTTGACGTCGCCTTTAAAAGGAGATACGGGCCTGTGATACATATCACAAACCGCCCCTCGCATCACAAACCTCCTCCTGGATAAGTGTGCTCACGCATCGATCTATCATGGAATGCAACTGCACCCATGCAGTTGGATCCTCCTCGCTGACGAGCCGAGGGAGTGAACAATCACAAAATCGTCCTTGCCTTCAAAAAAGGGTACCCAGAAATTGAGTTTTCGAGGGTTTTGGACAAATTGAACTTTATAACTGTAATCAGGGACACGAAAAGGCCTTAGAATGACAAAAAATGAGAGGCGAAATTTTGCCCGAACGCTGCCTTTAACAAACACATAAGTGACTTCCAAATATGCTAACCATCAATTTGGTACATGAATGACATGCTCTAACATGTTCTTTCTCACTAAGCGCGCATGCTTAAATGTTGTTTAAATAAACAACAGGCTTGTTTACAGAACACAAGCTGTCATATGACACCAAATTCAGGCCATTGTATACAATATCACTCCAAACAACATTATTTAAAACATTTCAAAAGTATGTATCCTAACGACCATTCCCGAATTTATTGGTTTCTAAACCAATACCAAACCAACTAGGTTGATTTGGAGCATAAATTGAAGAGCTCACATAAGTTTTGAACCTTTTTGATTTGCTATTGAAATGTCAAAAAATCTATTTAAAGTGAAGGAAGCAAATCAAACCATTGCCTCTCCTCTTTTTTGAGCCAGAAATAGTATAAATAAGTGCGTTGATATATATTGCGCTACAAACAGTATGCCTGTCAGAGGCGTCCTTTGAACTGGCGGCATGAACTGGCGGCAATTGTTTTTTTTGCTCTTGCTGTTGTTGTTTCAACTGTTGTCGTTTTCTTGATAGTTTACTTCGCTTCATAGGATTTGCGAAGGTATGTTACGGTACGTTTTTTGGTATGTTCTCGAAAATTTTCCAAACCAACGCATGTCGGGCCTATAGGTGCGATAGGGGGAGCGGGATCCCCTTCAGGTGAAGGGAGTTTTGACTATTTCTAACCTAGAAAAGTGAAGGGGGTAACTGGGCCTGAGATAAATGTTGACGCAAGCTGACCTGTATAACGGGAGCGGGAGTTAAAAGAAGGAAAATAAGTGGTATAGAGGTGTAATATATAGATCTCCTCAATTCTTAGGCTTTCGAAGGTCAGCTAATAGAGACGAGTTTGAGTCAAGAAAGCTTTATGTTTCATCTCGACATACCATTCGAAAGCTTGGAACGTACAAAAACGACGCAAACCGTCTTTTTTTGTCGAGCTCTCCTGTGAATTCAGATCAAAAAAATCATATCTAGTTCAGCATCAGCTGACTTCATGCAATCACTTGTCGCTCCATTTCTGAAAGAAAGGGGAAGCTAGAAAAAAGGAGGCAGTTTACGTTTACTGGCGAAGTCTTGCTTTGTAATAGGGTTAGACAAATGGGCATTTTCAGTCACTCTTTGCAGAAAATTTCTCCACAAAAACACGCATGTTTTTAGCTAAAATGCCATGTGTCTCTGAGTAGAGGGGAACTAGAGAAAAAGAGACGGTCTGCGTCGAATCCGTATTTTGTGAGCTTTCTAAATATATTTAGGTCATTAGGTGAAAAAACTCGTGTCTTTTTGAGAATGAGGTGAAGATATTCAATTTTTTGGACTGGGAAAGCTTTGTGCACCAACAATTTATACATTCGATAGCTAAGAACAGAGGAATCGATGTAGACCGTCTCTTTTTTCCTAGCTTTTCTGCTAAGCGGAATTGTTTGATTCTGCTGTTATGCCTTTATTCTAGTCTCAACCCCAGGTGAAAGGGGTCAGCCAGATGCCGGCCCTAAAGAGAAGGGGTCAGAGAAATTTCTCCACCTATCGCATACAGGGTGGGCGCTGACCCTCGCTCCCAACTCGCATGAGTGCTAGATGAAAAGAAGTTATTCGTGATAATGACGTACAAGATCAGTTAAGCACTGAGCAACAACACTGCCTTCGAATCAAGTCCAGGGATATCGGAACAGATTTCGTCAACTGATTTGATTTCAACAGTGATGATGACGATGATGATATGATCATGATGTTATCCGATTATGACATGTGACGGAAATAATATGAAAATCGAGGCTGCGCGATCAAAATGTGTAGCGCAAAGGAAACATGTAGCACCATAGATCTTCTAGTCGATGATTTGATCATAACGGTAAGAAATAGACAGTGTTAATAAAATGAGATTTTATATCGATCTTACTCTCTGGTGTCATTCCAAGTTTCAAGCATTTCTTGTATCTACAGAGCCTGCACAGATATCGTTCATCTTTAGAGATTTGGCATGACTCATCTGCTCTCCTGCATGTGTAGGGTCGCTTCATCACCACGGTACGTCTTAATTTAGTGGAAGTACAATTAGCCATGTTTTACAATCTGCACTGCTCACAGATAAGGCAGCGTCCATATTGATCTAAGAGTTCGGAAACAGTGCACAGTGCTCTTAAGCGCTGTGCTGAAACTGTTTCTGAACTTTGGGATCAGTTTGAATGAACGGATGAACGCAGCCTAAGACTTCAAGGTCTACAACAAAATTTTATCCGTAATATACCTAAAAAATGCAGCGCATGCTCTGCAAGCAAGCACACCAAAGTGTATACCATGTCCTCTCTGACCACAGATTTGGCAATCACCATACCCGGGAGTTTTCAAAGTACACTGAAACATAAATAGTAATGTTAAGCTAATGTGTTTTGAAATTGATAGAAACTTGGCTTTGGCGATTACTCGGTTACCTCAATTTTAAATGACGTGTAGAGTTTATCAAATGAACGTACTGAATGCATTTGTGCTCTAGTTTGCGTGTTTGTAGAACGACCAAAAAGCTTACTCACAATCAGTAAAAGTCTTTCTTACCATTGACCACTCCGAGGATGCGCGTCCTCCCTGCTAGCAGTCTAAAATCATTTTGTTATATAATACGTCTTCAGTAGAACGGTTTCGCTTTGCAAATCATCGGGCAGTGTTTCAAAATTTGCTCAGTATTTACCGTCAAAGCTTTTGTTTGCTCATAGTGCGAAATAACTATTGATTATATGCCGCTATTGAAAACAAAATGATAGTACTAAACTAGGCTACTGCAAGTTTATACGTTTTTTATTACCTTAAGCGGCTATTCTAAGAAATTTTCATGTTTGAGGCAGAGATTTTTGTGCCTTTAGAAAGCAATTTTCTTATACTTTCTGAGATATTTCAAATTTTATGAAAATCATCTTTAGTCTAACAACATTGCAGGCCTAACAAGGGGAGGATACACGATCGCAGTGACGGGGTAAGCGATGTATACCGCGTATACCGTCTCCAGACGGTAATCTATGACCGCATTCCATATCTGCTATGACGTCATTCTGGAAGAGCTATAAAGGACTTTGCAAGAACGCAAAACGGGCGGCATCCGAGTGGAATCGAACAAACGACGTCCAACTCAGCCGTCCAAGCCACTATCCACTGCACCAAGCGATCACGGCAGTGGTGAGGCAATTTTAGTACTTGAATGCGCCCACAGCACCAAAAACCCTTTATAGCCCTTCCAGAATGACGTCATGGCAGGTATGGAGTGCGGTTTAAAGATCACCGTCTGGGGACGGTATACGTGTATACCAGTGGCGGTCGCAGGATTTCGGACCGGGGGGGGGGGGCGAAAATTTTTTTTTTCAAATAAAGGTGCGTGGCGCTAGCCACGCACTCCGAAAAAATTTTGGGGGTACTTCTCAATGTTTTTGCGGGGCTCTTGTAAGAAAGCCTCCATGCTCCTCCAACTAAGGTTTTCTCTCAGTGGTCACCGAATAAGGTAATGGGCGAATATAAATAACAATTTACTTCAATTTACTTCGTCTTGTTTGTTGAGTTTGTTGTCGGAGATGATAGTCATTCCAATGCTCTTGCTTTCAAAAGTTATATCTTAAAAAGACAAGTACGTGTAGAAAAGTGAGACAAAATTCGGTTTTTTATTAAGGAGAACGGTGAAAAATGGGACAGCTTGACTTCCATTACATTTTGGGATTTTTTGTTTCGAGCAACAACAAGCTTACTTCAGCTCAAACGTTGCTTACATAAGCGACCTTCGCCTTAGCTGAATGTCTGTCTGTATGTATGTATGTCTGTCTGTCTGTACGTATGTGCGGAATAGAAATTTTTATTTCTGAACCGATCGGGACCAAACTTGGCACACATATACTTCGGGGCAGGGAGCGTGTCATAGGCTACTTTTCGTTATCGATCGATATCGATTTTATCGATTTTTTGCAAGATTTGAGCTAGGGAGCTGGGATTTTGCACAGGGGGGTAATCGAACATGCTGATCACCCCCACGGGGGTGATCAGCATGTAAAATCCCAGCCCCCTAGCTCAAATTTTGCAAAAAATCGGTGAAATCGACATCGATCGATAACGAAAAGTGGACTATGACACGCTCCCTGCCCCGAAGTGTATGTGTGCAAAGTTTGGCCCCGGGCGGAGCCGGGTTTGCCATCTAGTATGGAATAATTTTCAAAATTTTTGCAATTTTGATGACTACTAAACACGCTTGACATTTCAAAGAATGACAAGTTTGAAGGAAAACATTGCAAAATTTTTGCAATCGTCGTTTTTTCTGCGCTAGCATTTCTCGCAAGGCATACCATTTATCCAGTAGCCAAAAGCTTTTCCGCGACAGTCATGCTTATCGGAAAAAGTTTATTCAAAAAAGTTGTGATATTTTAAACTTGAAAATTGCAAAATGGAAAAACTTATGCAGCAACCTAAAATTATTTGATCCTCGCACATTATGCTTTCGCAGGGTGTGCTTCTTCTATGTCAGAGTTGACTGAATTTGTTACAACGTGGTCATCAGACGTGACGCATCAGCTTGCGCATATCCTACAATGAGACACGCTTTGTGGGATTTTGGGACAGAGGACTTTCGCGGCCACTTTAAGGGTGTGGTATTGAAGCAGTGACCTCGCCAAGACGAGGCATATGGGATAGAACGCGGAGCGCTGCTGCGCTAGGCAAATTTGGTTCTCAAATAAGTCTGAGCCGCAGTATGATATGCGTGCGTACTGCTACCTAATCGCTTTAAAAAAGCCCTGTCTCTTAATGCTGATTGATTATGAAAACGGTGTTAAACGACATGAATATTCGTGACATTTTAGTACGCCATAGTTCTTGAACTTGAGAAAGCCTAGCGCTTCCCTTCTAAGTGGGTCAGGCTTTCCTCCTCCTTGTAATGCTTGATGGTAGTGGAGCACGCTATTCAGCCAATAGGCCGGTTTTGCGCGAAAATTTTGCCGTGAACTGCATCTCTAGACAATATAAAACATTCCGCGAATGCGTCGCATAGATAAACTCATGATTCCCTCATGCAAGGTGCCTTCACTTGCGTCGCGCCGAAAGGAGAGGTTCGCATGCGCGCTCATTGTACGGAGCAATCGGTCCTTTCGAGCGGCGTTGGAAAATATGCAACGCTTGTAAGCTTTACCCGAGTTGAACAAATAATCAGATTTTGATAGAGTCGGAAACTTGACAGCTCAAAGAGTCGTGGTTTTTAAGGGTGGAGGACTATACGTCGCCGAAAGGGGGCCGCCCCCGCGGTCATTTGCAACAAACACGGGCCCTTGCATATAGTCCTCTACACGGTTTTTAGGGGCAAACCAATGCCGCGACGTGAAGGTCTAACAAATCTATCAACGTTATCAAATGTTTGCAATGCTTAGCTTCTATCTTCATCTACGATTCGAGGATAGTTTGATGAAAACATAGTCTCTCTTCGCTTTCTTCTCAAGAGCTGAGCATTACAGTTACTTGCATGAACCTTGTGTTACAATATTGCTATGGAGCTATCATGGTTTATACGTATCATAATCGCTGCATCTAACAAGGAAAGGATACTTGCTCGAAGTGGCGTTTCGATATAAATTAAATACTATCTTATAGAGCATAAAACGCTGATTTGAAACCTGCTTTCCTCATCGGCAAAGCGCTTCTGGAAGGAGAGTTGTGCAAAACTTCTGACAAGGGAATGGTCAGAAGTCGAAGTGGCCAAACTAAACAAGCTGTAAACCATTCGATGCAGTATAAAACGCTGACTTCGAATCTGTCTTTCTTATCTGCTTCCCGCTTCTGTGGACGAAGCTACAAGCGGTTTTATTGTGAAAAAATCACACATAAAAACAGCGAAATTGAGCACACTGTTGCATTTTTAGCTCAGCTTCTTTCTTTAAAAATTTGAAATAGGCTAGCTGCATGTTTTGGCCCAGCTTTAGGCGAACGTGGCTCTGCACGGCTAAATTTTCAATTTCACGCGTAATTTCTTGGCAAAATAATGGTCTTTAATGGTTTCTAGCTTCGTCCACAGAAGCGGGAAGCAGATAAGAACGACAGATTCGAAGTCAGCGTTTTATACTGCATCGAATGATATACAGCTTGTTTGGTTTGGCCACTTCGAATTCTGACCATTCCCTTGTGAGATAAAAATTTAATGATTTGGCCAAAATGAAAACAAGTATTGAGATCTTTTCGGTACTTGAAACGAGTGATGGCTGATATGAGTTTATTAGATTGAAGGTTTTATTTGAAAGACTCTGGTAATATTCGCGGCCCCGTTGAGCTCGCGCACTGAAGTTCTGAATGATTTTATTATACCCACGCTGTCGATTTTTTGCATCAAAAAATTCTCATAACTCCCGCCAAGAGCTTTGCAGGTAAGGAATGCAGATTTGGAATCAGCGTTTTTTAGTCTATAAGGTAGTATACATTTCATATGGAAACGTCACTTTGACCAAGTATCCTTCCCTTGTAAGGTAACACTTTTAGGGGTTGTTTCAGACTGCCGCACTGACCGCTGCAGACTGCAGCAGACCGCAGCTGACGTCAGCTGACCGCACTGACCGCAGCTGACGTCAGCTGACCGCACTGACCGCAGCTGACTGCAGCATGACCGCACTGACCGCAAGGGCCCCACAGATCATTGCATCCTTTCGTAAAGGTGGAGAGAAAAAATAACTGTAGCCCAAACAATCAACAACGATATATACCTAGACCCAAAGGACAACACGAGCAAGAGTAAAACAGATGTAGCAATAACAGAAGGAATCAGAACAAATATGAGCATACAAAGAAAACAATCTCCAAAATTTGACTGAAAAAAGTAAGTCAGAATCTATGAACTTTCCAGGCGTAAATCACGGTCTTTTGACGTAATCGTTATTTTTTTTCTCTTTTACGAAAGGATGCACCGATCTGCGCTGCCATTGCGGTCAGTGCGGTTGCAGTCTGCTGCGGTCAGTGCAGTCAGCTGCATTCTGCTGCAGTCAGTGCGGCAGTATGAAACAACCCTAGGTGAATACATTCTTGGAGCACGGAATACTCGAGCTCTACAGGAAGGGCGACGATCATACAGCAAAGTCTTTCAAGTCAAATTGCTTCAACAATGGGAGCTTACCATGAAAAGGAAGTAATGTGCCAGAACGAAGCCTGCATTTTAATTCTATCAAATTTAGCGATTGTCTGATTAATTTTTGGTTGATTTGTCAAAATCTTTGCAAAGTTCAGAAAGTTGCAATACCGCAGTACTGCTCCCCTCAAAGTTCAAATGCTTGCAAAGCAAACTCATCGTCGATAACAAATCAAAAAAAATTAACAAAACTGTGTGTAAAACGTACCTTCGCTGTTGTTCAGGGTGGCAATGTTCATTTTCTGACTGATAAGTGACGCCTGCTGCGATAAGAAGTTCATGACTCCAACAAACACGGAAAAGCACATGTCGAAATTTGTTATTTTAAAGCGCAGATCAGGACGAGTGCAAGTCTTCCGCGTTTTTTGCTTCGAAAGATCAGGATTTGGGTAAACTTGTGTATTATAAGTCCTGATATCAATTTTACATAGAAAGATGAGTTATTTTAACTATCGCCATCCTTCCTTACTGAAGAGTTCCGGGGATGGCATGAAAACAACAAAATACTCCGTCTAAGGATAGGAACGAAACGGAGTTCTCAAGTTATGATATTTCAATTATAAACTTTATCATCTATTACTATTGTAATTTTCTGAGGCATAAACGGAGAAGACCAAGGTACAAATATTTTCAAAGGCTTCATAGAATAGGAAGAGTACGTTGCAATATAATCGGCTTAGGTATTTTCTCGAGATAATCAGTCGGCTACGGGTCATTTTCATATTTGAGTTCACTTTATAATCATTTAGAGTAACTTTCGACATATTGACCCTCAAGAATCACCCATGCAGAACTAATGTGATTTTTCGATTGATATAAAGTGTTTCCAGTGCCGAGAAAATGCGGTAAAGTTTGCGCGTGAACAAATTGCCACACCAATAATGCCGCTATTTTGCGCGCGCAAGTGGCCAGTGTGACGGGCGTAGCTATTTGTTTACGCGCAAATGTCCTGTAAATTCTCGGCACCGCAAGCACACTATTTAAGCGCAAAATCTACTCGATTGTAACTGTCTAATGTTAAATAACTCGACAGACAGTTGTTCCTCACGTAAAATGACAATGCTTCAGTGAGTTATGCATAATATTGACCACAAAACAGATAATTTCCTACGTTGTCGAAATCACATAATGCAACCTCGTGGTGAGGCGAGATAATCAGAAAAGATTGACGGATCAGGTACGCCTCAGCACAGGGCAACCGCTCAGACAATCGCAAGGGAAGCTCCGGAGCAAACTGAGCTTTTAGAACTTCCGGAGCGGACGCTGCTATTGGTCCGGGCAAAGGTCACACTGCCCATGCCACGCGGACCAATAACAGCATCCGCTCCGGAAGTTTTAGATGCTCAATTTGCTCCAAAGCTTCTTTGCGATTGTCTGAGCGCAACGAAGAGGTGCTAGCGCAACTCCACCTTGCCGCCATCTAGGAGCTCATACTAACGCTAACAGTGAAGCATGACGCAATAGCATGATGTACCACTCGCGCGCACACTCGTATATGACGTGGGAAGCACTTACTGGTCAGTTTATGTAAGTTTTTCAAAGTTTTTCAAAATCTTTTCTCCTTTACAGAGACACATCTCAAAGTAAGAGTGTAATCCCAAGCACTTTTTTATAAATTTATTCAGCATTCTTTGTGAAGGAGAAACTCTCAACTAACTCTCAATTTACACCACTATCTAATTAAAATGAATGAGAAAACATTGTGATACAAATTGAGGCTGAGCTCATACTGATCGTAGGTTCCGGAACAGTTCCAGCACAGCGCCTGAATTTTGCGCTGTGCTGGAAATGTCCTGTTACTTATGGATAAGTATGAACTCAGCCTAACTTTCAATGTTTTGTGTGATCCACGAGGGGATTACTAAGACATCTCCTCACATTTTCGAGGTTACTCTTCCTATGTACTTGTTGAAAATGCTGTGAATTTGTACAGAGGATGTATTATGCTACGCTAAACATGTTTATAGTGAAAACTAGTAAAATCTTAGGCTATCGGAATCTTCGATGATTGTTCGCGAGCCCAGATTCATCGAAGAACTTACAACCTGCACAATCCATTTGTTTTGACGAAAACATGCCGAGCAGTGTCACGGTAGATCTTCAGTACAACTTCTTGACGAGCTCATTGAAATTAAAAAGATAGACGACTTTGAAAAAGGTGATCCCCTCTGAAGAATTGTGGGAGATAACACGAAACAGTAAAAATCTCAGCTGTTATGGTAGTCTTCTGCCATTTGTCAAAACACGAGTATTATGGTATAAGAGTTTCTATAAAAACAGAATAAGAGCAATACAGATATCTGAAGTAGCGTACAAGGACGCGTCCCCTCTCACACCCCTTTTCCTCCCCAGCGGGGATGTCCTTTCATGCAACCCAAAAACTAGGGATCCTCTAAGCTTTGCGCAAACCATAAGGCAAATCTGTCTTCTGCGATATCAAAGCAGCAGTCGGACCTAGTTCGCATAGAGAAGTTGAGTGTTGTCAAGTTTGCTGATTTAAACGGATTTTTGCAAACGGCATTACACATTTGTTAAAATCAGTACGAAAATGCTAGATCCAATAGGTGCGAAGACACTTCCAAATATTTACTCGAATGGATATGGGCATTTCTGCTTTGCACCCAAACACCGTCCAGTCTACGAGACAACATGTACAATGTTAATAAGATCCAGAGCGTGATTTATTCCAAACAAATTTCACACACTGAAGATTGAAAGCTGCATAACAGTTATAAATTATGACTCAACAATCGAACATTCCCTTCTCTGAAACCTCCACTTTGAAAACATCGAAGATACGGGCCAGTTCCATCACTTTTGACCTTTCATAATGAATGTTCTATAATGCAACATTCCAAAATAGGAAGTTGTTACAAACTCATTTTACAAGAAACAAACCTCCAAACAATGTACTATAGACATGATCTTGATGAGACGGGCTGCGTAATTCGGGGTCTTCATTGTTACAACATAGTAATTGTGCAAGTCATCCGATATGCTTTCCCTATATGATTCCGAAACGAGAGATGTTTCTGGACTAACAGCTCTGCCTGTAAAACACTCTCTTTGAACAAGAAGTTTATGCCGTTAGAAAAAACAATTGAACATGACATTCCGTTCTATATTTGCTACAAATTACAGGAGTTTCAAGTTTATTTCCTTGATAAAAAAAGTCAACCTGGTGAAGAAGAAACCACGTTGACACAGGTGGCTTGAGCAAGCTGTACATCGTTTTTAGGGATAAAAATCAAAGGGGAGGTGGTTTTTGTAGGTGGAAAAACACAAGTAAGATTGAGGTTTTTTAAGTGAAAGTTTCTGTTTTTTGGTCTTATACTCGATTCGGAGAGGCGTTCAAAGGGACTTGGACTTGGACTTGTAAAACGTTTCAAAAGTCACACGGATTTGTTTTTTTTTGCATTTTCGGCGTTTTTGGAAGATAAAAACCGCAATGTTTGGCTTTGTTGTTCAAAAACTGACGAAACTATTAGAAACGATCACAAGTTTAAGTCAAAGCCACTAAGGATGGGCCACACAATAGCCCTGTACAACTTTCTCTCTTTCTTTGAGTTTGGCAGCCTTTTGGCTGAGGTTGGAAGCTAGACGATATTGAGAAGATCAAAGACGATGTTATGTTATTGAACTGCTCCTGTTGCGACTCGGCTGTAAATGCAAACATGCAGAAGTCAAGTGCTATATTTAAACTTTTCTTGAGGGAAGGCGTGAGCGCTTATAATTGGCTACTTGGCCTCGCAAAATTACGCTATTGGTGGCGTGTCTAAAAGGTAAGAAAGTGATAAGTTTGTTTTCATAGTTTCCTTCTTTTCAGTCTTTACATGTGATTGGCATTTTATTACGTAAACTCTTATACTGAAATCTTTGGAAGCAATATGAAGTAGTGTCACGATTCCAGATCGAGTTCAGTTTTGCAGAAAAAGTAATATTTAGAAAGAGCTCGCAGCGCCCATACAACACGCAAAAGCCCTACCGCAATGTGCTAACCTACTCAGATAATCGCCGGGGACAGGCGGCCATGCGATTTATGGGCGGGCGGGCACCGGAAAAATAGTTCGCTGATTTCTTGCGATCCGCTTGCAGATATTTGGAAGAACTTTAGCGAAATTTTGGACGAATGCTTGAAGAACAATCGCGGTTTTCTTACAGATTAGCTGCGGCGCAGTGGCCGCATTTTCGCGGACTTTCCGCGAGAATATGCAAAATTTTTGAGGGCCGCACGGTCCTTTGTAGAGGACCGCGCAGCCCCCAGGTACTTTCCGCTGAGAGAAAGTACCTCAAACTTGAGTAATTAAACCATCTATGACACCTCTGCCATGTAGAGTCTCACCTTTGCTCGGCGTACACCCGAAACTGCTTAAAAACCGTCCGAGCGCCAGCTGAAAATTTGACCAGCGCTCGCTGAAAGAGATTATTTGACGAGCGCCTGCAGAAAATTCTGTGTTGCTGCCCGCTGGTAGAACACTAGACAGTAAAGGAAGTACCGCTCTCTGAAGGTTTGGCCACGTCCCAAAATTCTGGTGGCCGCTTGCAGAAAAGCGCGAGTTTGCGGACCGCCTGTCCCTGACGATTATCTGAGTACTCGTATTAATCGAGTGCTCAGAACATACAAACTTCAATCAAAAGTCAAGAAGATCAAGCTTACATACCTTCTACGTGCCACACCAATGTGCAAAGAATGTAGACGACTTCAGTGGCTGTGATACTCAGTTCCAAGCAAGTCTTTGTAACCTCTTCGTTCAGTCGCCCGACAAATGGTTCAAATAAACTTCAACATTATAAATGGAAGTAAAAGATAAGGAATTAAAAGAACGCCTACCTTTTTATATATGTAGGATCATAGTCGGTTAAAGTACTCATTTCACACTCTATTTTGTCTAGAGCGACAGCTGTAGTGGCCGACATTGCCACCAACTAAAATTTCGGAAATCGAATGATAGAACTGGGCGGAAAACTGTAACTCAGACTGCCTGTAAATAGATTCTCCGCATCTTTCTTTGGGATTGACTTTAAAATTGCAGTAAAGGGAGCAAGATCAGAAGATAACATAGAGAAAAAGACGTCGCAGGAAAACCTCTCTTTTGGCTGCGAAAAGCAAAACAAAAGCACAATGATGACCGTATCCAGAATTTTGACTATGGTGCTATAAGGTGAAAGCAAATACAGTTTTTCAGAGCGGTTAGCAAACAAAGATGTACGTCTTCAATCGTTTTTCGGCTTTAAATAGGAAGTATGATCGTTCCCATAATTCGTGTAGAGGCGGGTTGCTGACTTTCCCTGAGTTTAAGGATGTTGATAAAACCTTTACGTCATAGCACTGTACTCTCGCTATCAAACACAGCCACGCTTTGACTTAGCAAGATCCCCTTGGCAAGATCCCGCCTTTACACGAATCGTGGAGCCGATGATACCATTTTAACCAAGATTCATGGTGAGGCTTTTCATTTTATTCAATACGCTCAAAACGCTCAATGCAAAGGACAATACTTTGATCCTGCAAAAGGAACAAACATTTTCACTTTTCAGTCAAAGTTGCCTTAATCAGACTGAAAGTTGAAAAAAAAAACAGGATTATGCCTCATGAACATTACAGTGCTAAGGGATTGCTAAATCAACCACTCAGATAATCGTCGGGGGCAGGCGGTCCGCAAACTCGCGCTTTTCTGCAGGCGGCCAGCAGAATTTTGGGGCGTGGCCAAACCTTCAGCGAGCGGTACTTCCTTTACTGTCTAATGTTCTACCAGCGGGCAGCAACACAGAATTTTCTGCAGGCTTTTTCCTTTTCCGTCAAATAATCTCTTTCAGCGAGCGCTGGTCAAATTTTCAGCTGGCGCTCGGACGGTTTTTAAGCAGTTTCGGGTGTACGCCGAGCAAAGGTGAGACTCTACATGGCAGAGGTGTCATCGATGGTTTAATTACTCAAGTTTGAGGTACTTTCTCTCAGCGGAAAGTACCTGGGGGCTGCGCGGTCCTCTACAAAGGACCGTGCGGCCCTCAAAAATTTTGCATATTCTCGCGGAAAGTCCGCGAGAATGCGGCCACTGCGCCGCAGCTAATCTATAAGAAAATCGCGATTGTTCTTCAAGCATTCGTCCAAAATTTCGCTAAAGTTCTTCCAAATATCTGCAAGCGGACCGCAAGAAATCAGCGAACTATTTTTCCGGTGCCCGCCCGCCCATAAATCGCATGGCCGCCTGTCCCCGGCGATTACCTGAGCATGAACTATCAGATCTAAAGAGATTGGGCCCATGCACTCAGATAATCACCGGGGGCAGGCGGCCATGCAATTTCTGGGCAAGCGGTCACCGGAAAAATAGTTCGCTGATTTCTTGCGGTCCGCTTGCAGACATTTGGAAGAATTTTAGCAATATTTTAGACGAATGCTCGGAGAACAATCGCGGTTCCCTTATAGATTGGCTGCGGCGCAGTGGCCGCATTCTCGCGGACTTTCCGCGAGAATATGCAAAATTTTCGGGGGCCGCACGGCCCTTTTTGAAGGACCGCGCAGTCCCCAGGTACTTTCCGCTGAGAGAAAGTACCCCAAACTTGAGTATTTAAACCACCGGTGCCACCTCTGCCACATAAAGTCTCACCTTTGCTCGGCGTATGCCCGAAACTGCAAAAAAATAGTCCGAGCGGCTGCTGAAAGTTCGATCAGCGCTTGCTGAAAGAGATTATTTGACGAGCGCCTGCAGAATATTGTGTGTTGTTGCCCTCCGCCAGAAAATTAGCCAGTAAAGGGAGCACCGCTCAGATAATCGCCGGGGGCAGGCGGTCCGCAAACTCGCGCTTTTCTGCAGGCGGTCAGCAGGATTTCGGGGCGTGGCCAAATCTTCAGCGGGCGGTATTTGCGTTTTCTGCAAGCGGGCATCAATACAAAATTTTCTGCAAGCGCTCGTCAAACAATCTCTTTCAGCGAGCGCTGGCCAAACTTTCAGCAGGCGCTCAGACTCTTTTTACGCAGTTTCGGGCGTACGCCGAGAAAAGATGAGACTCTATGTGGCAGAGGTGCCATCGATGGTTTTATTACCCAAGTTTGGGGTACTTTCTCTCAGCGGAGAGTACCTGAGGGCTGTGCGGCTCTCAATAATTTTGCATGTTCTCGCGGAAAATCCGCGAGAATGCGGCCACTGTGCCGCAACTTATGTATAGAAAAACCGCGATAGATCTTCGAGCGTTCGTCTAAAAATTGGCCAAAATTATTCTAAATTTCTGCAAGCGGACCACAAAAAATCAGCGAACTATTTTTCCGGTGCCCGCTTGCTCAAAATTCGCATGGCCGCTTGCCCCCGGCGATTATCTGAGCGCTCGCTGAAGGATGGGCCACGCCTCAACATTCTGCTGACCGCTTGTAGAAAAGCGCGAGTTTGCGGACCGCCTGCCCCCGGCGATTATCTGAGCACTCTCTCTCTTGCCGTCAAAACTATCTAACAAGAAAGGTCCTCTTGGTCAAAGTGGCCTTTTTACATGGAATTGACACGACTATAAAGTGCATCGAACGCTGATTTCAAATCTTTCTTCGTTATCTGCCGAGCGCCTCTGGACGTCAAGTTATGAGCGTTTCTCTATAAAAGCGAATGCATAATTAGCACAAAATTCGTCAGAATTGCTTGAATGGACTAAAGTTGATTATCTGAGCACTCCATTTGAACAATACCTTCTGTCCAAAACACTTGAACTTAACAACGCTCTATTTTTGCGCTGAAAAGACCATGAAATTTGATTTTACCTAGATTATGCGTTCATATTTCGCACCAAGAAAATATTCATAACTTGGCATGCAGAGGCGCTCGGTAGAATGAAATTAGATTTGGAATTACCGTTTGATGCTCTTCAAAGTGGTTTACGACTCATTTGGAAAGGCCACTTCAACTAATTGGACCTCCATTGTAAGTTACGAAAGCAGACGTGAGAAAAGCTAGCGCTGGCGGTATAATGGCAGCCTGCCTTTGTTTCCTGTACCCTAAGTCCACGAGTACAAGGCGCACCCTTTCGATTTTTTGAGCCAGCCGCTAAGCCGCCTTAGTGTTTCGGAAAAAAGAAACTCATACCGCACGGCACTTTTAGGCAATACGGAGCACTGTATAGGATTTGTTGGCGCGAAATTTCTTGGTTTAGGCTAGTCGAATTTCAAAAAAGGTGCGTCCTGCACTCGTAAAATTAGGGTGATGCTGTACCTTTTCTGTCACTGCCCTCCATCCGAATATTTCGATTGACATGGCCACTCGTTCGAATCGCTGCCAAATAATCCACGAGCTTTTAAAAATTACCAGCTAGAACAACTGATAATGTTTTGAGTAGAAATTTAAAAGCTAGCAAACCTTTTCTTCCAAAGGCAACTGTGCAAACTCTTTGCAATGCATCAACCACTCGCCTATGTTGTAAAGATGATTTTCCCAGGAAAAAATCACTTCTGCGAATGTTATGTAAGAAATCACCTAGGGTAAATTTTGAGCACTGCATTCCTATGCAGTTAAACAAGAAATACCTTAATATCGGGCTCTCTTAATTGAAATCTCCGATGTCTTAGAAGTGCCTGATGCATGCGCTCCAGAGGTCGATCCGGCAGATTATCGTCCGGTCGAAACTAAAGAATAAATGGCTGCCGATCAAAAGCAGTTGCGGTTGATGATCCATCAAACCTCTGTTAGTACTCGTTTCAACTTCTCCATTATAGGTGATATATCAAATCGAACAACAGGGCGACCCACACTCCTTAGAGATATAGAAGAACTGTCGAGCTCTGTGTCCTGAATAACATGAATTTACTTCAGATTTTTGCACATAAGATGTTTATTTAAGAAAAGCTAATCTAAAGCATCTCATAGGCTGCTGCCACGGACTTCTTCAGACGATATTCCAATTGCCAGTGCCTACTCCGCTGGCACGGACAAGCGAAATATTATTTGAAGAGAAAAGTAGGTTAGTAGTAGTCAACCCGTTATATGCGTGCTCGTTATATGTGTACGTGTTAGACACCCGCCATACTTGATCCGCTTAATCCACTTGATCCGCTTGATCCGCTTCGCCATTGGTCAATTCAGTAAACTGACCAATAGCGAAGCGGATCAAGCGGATCAAGTATGGCGCGTGCCTTATAGGCCGTCCACACAGGGCACGGTGCGCAAGGTGTGTATTGCGCGTCACTCCTCTTTCCTAGTGTACTCTCGCCCCTCTTTTCTCTGCGCTTCTTCCAGTGGTGAACTGCCTTCAATGTACGCAACTGCGTTGCTCACCGTGCGCAGCGCGGACAGCCTATACTAAACGCACCCAGCGAAATAGCGTTTATAATCATCCAAACGCTTCAATAAATCCTGCATAAAGCGGCCGAATCCTGCTCTACAGTCACAGATTGCTTGGCTACAATTGTCGAACAGCCAATGATGTGACACCAAATTTTGTCACATGCACAATGGAAAATGGAGTAGGAAATTCAAAGAAAAAGCTTTTGTGAATGAACGCGTGCCCAGTTTTTACCGCTAGCACAGTTGCTAATCTCATGCCAACGGTAAGAAGCAATCCTAATATTCGCATTTTTCAAATAACCCTCAGATTCTTTTCTAAAAATTAGCTTTCTCATTGACTAGTTAAACATCTACAACTTCGTCTCCTCTGTTTTCGCTCTTTCTCATACAAAATCTTCACTTGCCAATATTATTTAGCCATCGTCCAAGCTTTTGCCTTTCGTTTGCTACAATTTAAATAGTAAAAAAATTTCAATTTTATCGCCTTTCGCTTATGTCCGATTATCCTTCTCTCTCTAGGCTCCATCCGGCAAGCCAATGGAATGTCGATATGCTTCAATAGCTACAGCAAAACATCAATTCAGCTCCGAATATGCGAATTAAGCCCTTAGGTAGCATGTAGGTAATTATCGAAGAGCACGTGCGCGGGAGAGACGCAGACTGGTCGCGGGCGCGAGCGGCCTTGACTAGGTTACAAAGAATCGCCTTCCACTCGCCAAGTCAGTTAAATCAAAGATTATTTACCTGTGATAATTTTTGCATGACATTCCACTGGATTTGCACCCCAATACTCGCCGCTATATCAAAATAGGGATCTCAAGGGATTTTAGGGGTTGCATTTGCATTTGGAATGCCGAAACGAAGTCATGAAAAGACTTAAGATGTTGAAGAACATACAAATCGGATATGCGCAGACGCTGCCTTCAACTTTCATTCACTTATCGTTCGCTACAAGTTGCTCTGAAGCAACAAATTCAAGGAGTTCCCGTTTTTAATTTTTTGGTACCAACGCATGCCAAGTGCTACAACGCTCTTTACTTACCGTAGCAGATTCGGAAATTTGCGATGAAGTGGGTTCGTTTCCCGGCTTTACGTCTACAAAGGTTGTGACACATGTTGCAGATGTTTCACATTCCTTGAATAGGCTGCAAATCATACATTTTTTGATGCATCCTTCTCACCTCCAGAGAGCTCTCGCTTGTTAGTGTCATCGATTTAGATAACCCTTGCGGCTGATAATCGTCTCGATCATCGGTGTCGCTCGCCTGTTAAGGTGAGGCATGTGAAAGTAGCAAAGGCCACAGCAACAAGCTTTTACATTTTCTTACAAGCTGAGTAATCTTCTTGACTTTTCTTCCTCCAACCGTTGTCGAAAGCACATCTCGATTCCATTGAACATCTAAAATTCAAGTCAAGACCGATGAATAAGATAGGCGAGCGGTGATATGAAGCCCTGCCGAAGTGAATGAATTATACTTTATGTTGATTTCGAAATTCTATGCGTTTCTGCCTACTTTATGCGCGCCACCTCAGTCGCAGGGATGTTCATTGGCATCGGGAGACTACAATATGTAAGTACAGGGTAAACTTCCTGGGTGAAGGTATTGTGTTTTCTCGATAGTTTTCAGATTGCGAAAAAGCTCGGAGAAGTGCACTACTGCCATAGCACCCGCTTCTGGTCGGCAAGTGGAAGTATGGCAGACGTTTGAACAATTTCGACCCGACAAACTGCTAAAACTTTATTTCCAATAAAAGTACTCAAACCGTTGTTTTTGTACGTATCAAGACACCATCAAGGTACTATACCGCTCGTATTTTTTTTAAAGGAAACGGCTATTCTGATATATAGAAGTGCTTGTTTGGACACAATAGGAGGCTAGATTCCACGAAAACTTCAAATTTTTGCTGTAGGTTACTCAGTATGCTTATTCATTGCACGCACTAACCTAGGCAAAAATCTGGAACGATTCGTGTAATCTGGCCTACTATTGTATCCAAAGCTTATGGTAGGTTACTTAGTATGCTTACTCATTGCACGCACTAACTTAGGCAAAAATTGAAACGATTCGTGGAATCTGACCTACTGTGTTGTCGCGTTTCGCGATACAAGGCGGTCCTCGAAGCACGGAGGCTTGGGCCATCGGTTACTGCACTATCCGGCGACGATTACGGTAGCCGAGACGCTCAGACAGTTTTTCCGACGGCGCGCGCGCCTTCATGAGCCTACCGTGCGAGCGGCCTTGCCTTCGGCGGACGGCGCGCCATCTTGAGTGACTGTGCGAGCGGCGCCCTATGGTGAACGTGTCAGGACCCACAATGACACGACGCTTTTCCGCGCTTAATGCATCATTTCACTTTGAAATCTCCGTTGTTCGTGGAAGGTTGCTCACCTCATCCTCGTCGCTTTTTTCAATCAGTAAGTTCTTTTTGGTTTCACATGAACCGAACCAACCAACCGCAACCAACCAACTAACCAACCAACCAATCAACCAGCCGTGCCCAAAGCGCCAGAACGCTCTTCTCACAGCCCTTTTGAATACAAAATTCAACACTATAACTATCTATTAGCGGAATAGAAGCTCGTTTTATTTTGAATGTTTGACATCAGGCAGTTTAGTATATTTACATGTTATGTCGAAGCATTCTAAACGGCCGGCTTGCAAGACTTCAGAATGCGTCGAGCTCGTGAAGGGCGCGGGCCGTCGGAAAAAGTGTCTCTGAGCGCGTGTTACCGCAATCGTCTCCGGACCTCTCCTTTGTTGGCCGTTGCTAGCCAGGCGGTATATATAGCGGCGCCGCCTCAGTTGAGTGCCTTGTTCGTCTTCGTCTGATTGATTTCATTTCTTCGCGAATACCTTTTCAGCCCCTTATGCTCCTGTCCTTTTTTTAATGCAGTTGGCCATGTTCTCTGGATTGGGGAACGGATTCTTTTCGTTGGCACATCTCGACGCGCCGTAGTACTGATCGTAATTGCATGTCAAGTTGGAATTCTAACATGTACAGGAACTGCAGGTGACGCACTCCTGTCCACAACCTTAGCGTTGCCCGGTGGATGTGTTGCGCGAAATTTGGGAGCCACATGCGTTTGAAAGTACTTCCACAGACGCGCATTGTAGCATGGGACGGACTCTCGTGCCGTATTTTGATTAGTAGTAGTAATTTGCTTTTTACTGTTTGTTCATTTTGGCTGTAGCTTGACGCCATTACGATGAATAGCTCGATTTATCTCACGTTCCTTGGTCGCGCGTTAGGGGCAGTAGAATAGGTTCATCGCTTAGTATAGGTGCAAGAGCCCACTCAGTAGCCATATATGTCAAACAAGCTTTTTTTCCATAAATTAGAAGATGCGCCGCGCTAAGCTGAGTCAAACGCAGGGCTCGGCACATGTGGCTTACAAGCAAGCTGGATATCGTTTTTGGGACAAAAAGCAAAGGGGATTTTGTTTTGCTGCAGAAAAGACACGTATTGCGACGTTTTTTGCAGGTTTTTTAGGGATTATGGTCTAGGGTCCAAGGGGAATTCGTAAAAATTCGCAAAATCTAAGGGGACTTCGTTTTTTGCATTTTCAACTAGCTACCTCGTGCCTAGCCCTGGTCAAATGGTGTCCTTGGGTTAAAAGTTCGTCCACTCTGAAGCAAAATATGGTCATGGTCACGCTAAATGTCACATGAATCGGGCGACTATGCGTCATTTTTTCAAAAAAATACAAGCGGTATTATATTATAAGTAACTTCAATGTGGGTCTTAGGAGTAAATTTTTTGGAAACACTCGTACTAGAGGATGGCTACAATCATAACCCCAATTTCTTTTCTTATTTGTGCAATTATAGCCTCAGAGTATAACTACAGCTTCAAAGTCAAAGCTTCAAAGTATGAACCATTTGCAACAGTATGTAATTTTGAGAAAAAATGGTTAGCATGCGCAAAAGAGTGAATTTACAATGGTGTCCCCCCACTGCACATTACAAAGATTTCTCTACTAAATATCAGGTAGAAAACTTGGTAAACAGAGTATAGCTAAGGGCTAGTATAAGTTCAGTCAAGGTAAAGAGTTGTGGTTTGAAGTCAAATCAAGATTTAACGTTTTTGAATAAGAGAATCAAATTCGTCAAAGCTGCAGATCGAGTCAAAGCTGTCTGATTCTGCTGAGACTTTACTTTGAATACCCGTTAAGTACCAATATCCCATTTTCAGTATTGTCAGTCAGGGTGAAAAATCTCACCATGGATAATCCTTGATATAATCTCTTAGCTCCAAAGTAATTCCCACCTTCACATGCAATGGCACAATTTCGCGTTCAACGACTGCATTTTTGGCACAAAATTGATTTGTATAATGCGAAAGAATGGGTTGACATTCTCGAAAGCGGTAATGAAAAAGTTGCAAAACTTAGTCTCCAACTCAATATTATGTGTCTAAAATGTGATTTTGCCAATTTTGAGATGTAGTAAAAAGGCCAAATGCCGTACAACAAAATCGAAGAAGGACAACTGAGCATGTCTCAACTGATATGCCCATCCATGGTCGGGGCTAGAATTTGAGTAACTTATACACCGCTCGTCCATTTTTTCTTAGGAATGTGCTTACTCTAAAGTCTTTATTTAAGGATTTAGCTGACAGTCAAGACTGAATTTTGCATTTACTTCATTTGCAGTGATGCCAGATGAAAGAGAAAGCGATTTCTGACTTCTCCTCTATTTTATGTAATGATTTACTAATTGCACTGTTTAGTTTATGTTTTATGTTACTTAGCTTAAGCATTCTACCTATACTCATAATCGCTCTTATATTAGCCAAGAAGCATATTTGTTGCGCGCAAATAGATGAGTAAGTAACCATATGAAAAAGCTTACTTTCGGGAGTCATTCCAAGACTCAAACATTTGTTATATCGACACAGTCTGCATAAATATCTCTCATCCTTTGAGATTTGACATGAACCGTTTGCTCGTCGGCAGGAATAGTGCCGGTTCATAACGACTGTTCGCCTAAGTGAAAATGTCACAAGAAAAAAGTTTCCTCTACCGCTTTCTTAAAAGACATTGTTTCACGCTTGTATGGTACCTAAAGAACGCTGCGCACGCTCTGCACGTCAAGACTCCGAAGTGACTTCCATGACCTGGCTGCCCACATACTTGACAGTTTCCATGCAAAGGAGTCCGCAGTGAACGCTAAATATGGAATTTCAAGAACATTAAGGATTAAAATAAAAGCAATCGCACGTGTTTGTCACGATGGGTTTTAGACATAAAAACGCGCACGTGCCACTTGCTATGATGGAGCAGACGATAAGTGCCAGAACATGCTCTTTCTTCTTAAAAGTATTTTTAGCTACAGTCTAGTATTAGGTTGTCCCATAAGTCTTTTCATATTCGGACCTTCAACTCGATTTTTCTCAAGAACTACAGCACCTAATAGGCTGCAAATTTTTAACGGTAATTCTGAGTGAATAAGCTATATAATCAACCATTTGCGGGGTACACAGAAGTGATGCAGGCAAAGTTTGAAAATTGAGCGCATTATTTTTTTCTTGGTTTCTAGCCATCAGAAAAATGCAGCAAGCGCATGTATAGATATCCGATGAGGAGAGTATATGCATGAAAAAGTGGGAAATTTGCAGAGCTGTTTTGAACTGAGTTATGATGATTCCCGTTTTTTCGGAAATTCGGAAATTTTTTTATTTTGGCTTGGAACTTGTTGCGGATTGAGTTTGGTGCGAACTTTTAAACGCTATCTTGTAGAGCTTACTTTGATCTGTCGAACGGTACCCTGCATTTTATCAGGAGTTCAAGAAGAACTGATTTATGCCGCTGAAAATTCAATTATGAAAAGACTTATGGGACAACCCAATAAATATTCTGCCTGTTTTAGTGCGTTTATTAAACTGAAAGCTTGCATCAATTTCGACTTATTTCCGCATATTTCCTCATAGTTATTTGAGAGATGTGGTAAAGCTCATTTTGATTTTAAAGTCAGCAGGATGCAATAATGCAATTGAAAGGGTGTAAGGAAGGAGTATTTGCTACCAACAAGGAAAGGATTCTCGTTCGAATTGGCGTTACTAATTGAGATGTATGCCGTTTTATAAAGCACTAATTGGCTTTCCCGTGCACCTCGGATCATTGTTTAGGAGGATGACCAAAACCATTTTGTGGTCAATCCTTCCCGTCTTCTTTGGTTCAGCCATAATACTCTCCACAGTCCCTCCTGCGTGAGCTTACCTCAGAAAGATAATTAGAGTAACTGCATCCTCTACATTTCAGATTGAAGGTGAACTTTACTTCATTGTTTACACCAACATGTGCAGTTTGATAACAGCTGATAAGTGTTCATTTTCATTACAAAGTGCAAAAGTCAATAAATCGATAGAAGAAATCCGCAAATTGCTTCGAAAGGTAGCTTACAAGCATCTGTGATATCGAAAACTGTGCAAAATTTCGGTTTAATCGGTTTACGCGCAAAGGAGTCTACAAAAAAATATGCGGTCAAGATTTGCAAAAACTTTGACTTTTATCTTATATATAAAGCTGAATGTCTGTATGTCTGTCTGTATGTCTGTATGTCTGTACGTATGTGCGGAATAGAAATTTTTATTTCTGAACCGATTTGGACCAAACTTGGCACACATATACTTCGGGGCAGGGAGCGTGTCATAGGCTACTTTTCGTTATCGATCGATATCGATTTTATCGATTTTTTTGCAAAATTTGAGCTACGAGACTGGGAGTTGGCACAGGGGGGTAATCGAGCATGCTGATTACGAATATAATAATGACAGGGCCGGGCGGAGCCGGGTTTGCCAGCTAGTATATATATAAGATGGAACGCTGATTCCAAATTTGCTTTCGGCATCTGCAAGGCACTCCTGGAATGGGAGCTCCGGGGATTTTTTGAGGTTTAATCAATTGGCTATGTTAAATAGGTGTTGAGGTTTTTCGGTACTTGAAAAAAGCAATGACTGACATGAGTTTATTAGATTGAACCTTTACATAGAAAACGCATTGGCGGTAACCATGGCCTCATTTTAGCTCACGGACTAAGGTTCTAAATGATTGTATTGTCATGACTCCCCTTCCAGAAGCACTTTGCAGATACTTGAAGCAGGTTTGAAATCAGCATTCTATGGTTTATAAGATAATATACGTTTATATAAAAACGCCACTTCGACTAAGCCATCTCTTGGGAAAAGCATGGGTGCTGGCGAGAAGACTCATTGATTAAATGAGTCGGGACAGTTAAATTTTATGTAGAAGTTGGACGTAGTGGTGAGTTGTATCCAGGGCCCGGCACAGATGGTCTGGAAGCAGGCTGGACTTCGTTTTTGGAGCAAAAAACAAAGGAGATATCGTTTTTGACGAGTCAGGGTCGAGCACCAAGAGTAGGCGCCATTTAGTCGAACACAAGCTTTTCGAACAGGTTATCATGCGACTGACATGCTCCATCGTGTATGGCGAAAAGTGCGCGCGATTTGAAAGCAAGGCTAAAATAAACAAATTGCTTGTTTACAGCGCACACAGAATCGTATGGCACCAAAATTGAACTGTATACATAGGAAATTATTTGCAAAAGAATTATGGAGAAAGATTTGAAAATTTATGTGAAGTACTACCTTTTTCAAAGTTAGTCCGTCACCAGACGATCTGAAATCGTCTGGAGCATATATTTCTATCACTTCACATAAGTTTCGGATTTTTCTGTCATGGACGGATTCCAGAGTCAAAAATCTATCGCTGAGCATAAAAGCATTTTCATACCACTGCCTTTCCTTTATTTCTTTGCCTCAATTTCTTCCTAAATCGTTTTGTTAAATATCGCGCTCCAATTCCAAACTCTTGTGCGTAGTATTCAGCTCCAACTTGAATTTTCACTCTTATCTCAAGTTTTTTCTTACAAGCTAGTAAATCTTTCTTGTTTCCATCTTTTCCTATAGGTAGGTTGGTCAAAGGGGACTTCGTATAATTTCCGAAAGTCATGGAAGACTTCGTTTTCAGAAATTCTAGAAACCGACTCGTGCCGGGCCCTGGTTGTATCATGTTATGCTGACAGGGACCTAGTGAAACATGCTAGTTCATATATCACAATCAAGTTCAGATAGATAAAATTTGCTACTTGCAGTCCCAAAAGAAAACTTAACAGGAATATTTGAGAACCATTTTCGGTTCGTTACAAGCATATTTGCGCAAGCTTTTGTATCTGAGGGCTGAGTTTGTCAGTGTAAACAATGTGGCCATAAAGACTTCGCCGAAACTCGCTTACTTAAGTTCGAATTTTTTGCGAAATGAGTCCAGTCACTAGCGAAGTGAGTTTTTTGCGAAGTGAATCCAGCCCCCACCCCCCCCCCCCCCCCCCTCCCCGCCCAGCGTACATAATGTTAATGGAAATTATGTAAATAAAGAAGCAAAAATGCAAACAGTGACCTTGCATTATGCATATCTATGCCTGATAACGCTGAAGTTTGGTATTCAATGATGTCACGGTTCAACATAAACACATTACATATTCACTTACCCGACCTAACTTCTTCTTTGCACTGTTGTCGCTATTTTCCGTTGACATTTTTGGTGGTACTTCTGCTAAATTGAAAAAGAGGAATTGGACATAAATTATTGACGATTTCAAAGTGTAACATTCAGTATGGTCTGAAATATTTCCAAACTCTTTGGAAATACAAACTCTGAAGCTGTATGCATCAAACACAAACTCTTTGGAAATACAAACTGTGAAGGAAGCTGTATGCATCAAACACTAGAGGCAACCTAGTTTTCGATTAGAGAGGGAAAGAAGAAAGCGATCATGTTTTTCGTAAATTTCAGTCTAACTCGACTTGCTCATTCAAAAGTAGTTAACCGCCGCAACTTTAAATTCTATGCAAAGTTCAATAGTTCAATAATATGTGTCTTATTATTTGTTTGTTCATCTTGCTATAACTGTTCAATTATTTATGTCTTTGCCCTACTCTGCGACCACACCCTGCGGCTTTTCAGTTTGTCGAACTCAAACTAGATTTATCTGTGTAAACCTTGAACATGGTCAAACTTTACAGCAAAAAATTTCTTCCGAAATTTACCAAATGAAATCGAAAAAATTTGCCCAACCTACGTCAAAATGCAATTTCATGATTATTTGTGCACCTTGTTGTTACGTTATTTGCTGAGCAAATATTCTCGTGCATGCGCGTAAAGAAGTGATTTTGGGTGCAAAAATGTTTATTCAGTATCTGGAAATAGTTAGAAGTACTCGTGCGGCATGGCTTTTACCGGGCCACGGCCTGTCTTCATTTTCAAAAATATTGTTTCACAGCTTTCTATAGTCAAACTTCCAACCAATGATGTGACAATCTGCTATTTTTCCGGTTTTAATCACAAGTTCTATTTAAGGACTCTCGCTACTTTCAATACACTTTAATACAAAGAAAATCCTCACTACATGTTGAATTTTATATTCTTGGATTTTGAAAGTATAGGGAAGACAGATCTATAAGTTGTATACTGATTGCCGAGAAAAAGTTCATAAACTAGTGAATGTGCTTCAAGTTCTATGAGTAAACAACTATAAATATTTAAAAGAATTCCACCAGTACTTTTTGATGCTGTACAGTTATGATAAGAGGAAAAAAATGGATGCAAGTTAAAATCAATGAATGCAAAAAATAGTTTAGGCCAAGAGTCTTACAATCAGAGTGATAAAAGTCAGCAATGTAAGAGACTGATAAGGCACACTAACTCAGTGGTGTCGAATTTTGTAAATTCTAGAATCACCTCAATTTTGAAGAAATTTTGGCAGTACAGTGAAGGCATAGTCATGATAAGAGGAAAAAAAGTAGTCAAGCAAAAACCAACAAATGAAAAATAATTTGGGCACGAAACGAAAGTCGAAGTGATAAAAGTCGATGGTACTGATAAGGCACATTAACTCACTTGGCTTCAGAATTTTTCAGGTAAAAGGAAAAAGAATGATCTTATTATTGTTCTAATTTATCTGGATTCGAAGTGGAAATAATCAGTTTGAAAAAACTTGAGCTATTTTCTCGATAGCAGATTTTTTCAAATTGGGATTAGAAGTCTGATAAAGATTTTCTTTCATTTTTAATCTTTGAAGTAAAAAGTTTAATCTCGAGACGTACTCGTATACTGTAAAAACACTTCTTTTGCTTTTCGAGAAGCTCAAGCTCGAGTTCAGACTGGTAATTTTACTGATCTGACGTACCTGATGGCAGTGCTGACGACTGGCGAAAGTATGTGACCGTTTTCTGATCGATAGGTGGGGGAAAGACCTGGTATCGAGAGAGAGACGGCACTGTGTGCGAGTCGAAACACACATCAGCAACAGTTACAGCATAGAACGTACAAAACGAGCTGTAAAGCTGTAAATTTGTGTAAAAAACAATAGGAAAACGTTTCTAGATTTGATTCACTGATTTTCGACCCTAAGTTCGATCTCTTTCCATTTATCGTAGTCACCTCAAACGAATGAGTATGGAATTCTGAACAGTTTGGCTACTGAACATTCTTCTCAGTAGTGATTCTGAACATTCAAAGACGGTATTAAGGCCATAATCTTCTTGGAAGATTTTTATTTATTTTTTTTTTGATACCAAAAGCGTTGCATCTCTTCAATATCATCTCACACATAAAAAATTCAACTAGATATTTTGAAATTTTTCCTATTAATTTTCGGCAAATTCATGTCAGATATGAGACTTTGGCAAATTTCTAGAGTTCGCCAGAAAAAGACAAAAAGACAACAACATATTCTACTAGCATAGTGCAAAATTCAGCTTAAAAGTTTTCATTTCTTGTAGGGATTTCTGCTCGAAAACGTGTCCAATTGAGAAGCGTTTCAATCGAAATCCGATCTACTGCGGTTCAGATATATTAGGTTGATGCATAATTCCTGCATCAAAATAGGTACAGACCCAACAGTCCGGAATAATCCTATACTCTAAACAGGATTCGATACATCATTAAATAGAGCGAACCTATCTCTACAAGATAGTGCTCAAAGTTTTGCATCAGCGTTCATCCAAGCGAAGATTGAGGCCAAAAACGAAAAAGATCCAAGCGCCCCAAAAAACCAAGAAAAAATTGGAATTCCATTTAGAAAAATTCTTCAAAATTCCTACCCCGCTCATGCATTGTCATTTCCTACAAGACATTTTTCTATGCAGTTGCTGTATTTTTCTCTCAGCTAGAGACTGAGAAAACAAAGTTTTTCATGTTTTTGCCAAATTAGTGCTGAGATATTCTAGCGTTGACAGTTGTATAGCACGTGCCGGTAGCAGTAAAACTTTACGTTTTTAGCCTTCTAGAACAGCTAGTTTAAGAAATGACGAATCTAGCTCTCCTTATCCAAATTGTTCTTGCCTTCTTGCCCAAAATTCGATATTCTCGTAAATCAGCTGCTAAAAAATGCTGGATATTCACACTCATGCTTCGAGGGTTCTGTAGTATACGGCTGTCAGTGCTAGAACATCTCAGCACTAATTTGGCAAAAACATGAAAAACTTTGTTTTCTCAGTCTCTAGCTGAGAGAAATTACAGCAACTGCATAGAGAAATGTCTTATGGACAATGCATGAGCAAGTTAGATACTTTGAAGGATTTCTCTGAACGGACTTTCAACTTTTTCTTGATTTTTTGGGGCGCTTGGACCTTCTTCGTTTTTCGCTTCAATCTTCGCTTGGATCAAAGCTGCTCCAAGACTTTAAGCACTGTTTAGAGTTAGGTTTGTTGTATCTAATGATATATCGAATCCTATTTGAGATATGGGATTATTCCGAATTATTGCCGTTTGCACCTATTTTGGTGCAGGAATTATGCATCAACCTATACATAGGTAAGGTGATAGTGCCCCGCACAAGCATTGTGTCCAAAGAAGACTGGAATGAAAAATCTCATAATTTTCTTGGAAGCTTTTTTTTCATTTTGAAATACTTGAAGCGTTGTATCTCTTCGATGTCATCCCATACATGAAATCCAATTGAATATAGAATTTTTTCCTGTTTATTTTTGGCAAAATTTATGTCACATAAGGAGCCTTGCCGAAGTTTCTATTAAAGTGAAAGAAAAGAGTGTCGCTTTTTATTTCCACGCATGTCATCGAACAAGGCAAACCCCAAAAACGTGTATGCTCTTCGACAGAGCAAAGCAATCTCTACAAAATGACATTTATTGTTAAAAAAATGTTGAACTGAGTAAAAAAACTTCATAGAGCAATTTTACATATCTGACTTAAAATGCCGAGTGAAGCTATCACGTTTCCGTTCCAAGGAACTGGTACAAGTAATCTCCATATATCTAGAGCAGAAAATCTGTATGCCTATGCACAATCCCCATAGTCATGAAGAATAAGCGGTGAAGCACATTTTGATCTGCTGGTCATCAAGACTTGGTAAGGACGGTATGAAGCGAACTGAAGACGAATTTAATTAAAAGGATAAGTTTCTCTATCTGAGACCAAGCACGATGGACTGGCTCCAAACCGGGGTGGAATCCGGGATGCCAGCTCGTTACTTTATAAAACTGTCCACAGCGATGAAAGCGAATTTTTATTATGAGTCGCTTTGTAGTGAAATCGGATCAAAGTTGTTATAGTGAAATCTACGCATCAGTACTTCGAAGCTAGAGCAGCGGAGTTTTCTGCAAGTAAGAACTTGAGAAACGAGTCGACAGCGTTTAAAAATCGTGTTTGCACAAACTTCACCCTCCAGTGCTTTTTCTTCTCCGGCTTGATGTTGGGATTCACCTATAGTAGTCTGAGTGGCATCGCTGTGCATAGTGGCGTCAAGCTGAGCATCAGCCTAGAATTGTGCATAATAGTATTGCTAGGTTTGCAGGTCTTGCAATAAGTGTATATAGTTTTCTGAACATCTTCAGTATGAAGATGCACAAACTCCTGCCAAGACCCATTTTTAAAATCATTTCAACTTGAATTTATCCTTCTGAATGACAGCAATGTAGATCTAATCGCAAAGAACCAGGCCTTAGCTACTGTGAGCGTGTTATTGCAGGTACTACACTTACTTGGAGGTTAACTCCATTCATATTGTTATCCACATCTCTCCAATTTACATGAAAGTCGTCGCGATAATTGAAATCTGCAACCAGTTTCATATACCAAAGTGAATAAAGTAAGATGAGGAATGCTTCTTCTTTAGAGTTAAAGCAAACAGACAATGGGCAGTGTAGCAACGACAAGAATTAGTAAGGGATTATCAGGAGTCATAGTATTAGGTCGTTCCACAAGTTCGTAGCGTTTTCGTAAACCAACAAAATCATCAATTTTCACTAAAAATCAGCCAATATTGTATTCTTCAACGTAGCGCACGGCCTTTTGCCACACTTTTCAATCTCAATTTTCCAAACGACAGCGCGCCGGGTCCTAGGAAAGTCATGAAACCGCGCTCAAATTACTCACTGAAATTGAAACATGTATCATTTATAAGGTTTGCGAGAGAGAAGAACAAATGATAATTTGATAGAGCGAGGTTTAGAGGCAGCTCGGCAGAATGACAACTTTGGGATATTCATCGTTCTCAGTTCTCCTGGATGAGCTAAGTCCACTGTGCTTAGCTCGAAAGATATCAATAACCCGCTATTTCAGACGTGAAAAGCGTTGAGGACGGGCCGTGTATCTGCCTCTAGAGCGCGGTTGGCTCGTGAATGGAGATACTGTGCCCACCGTACCCCAAGCCAATCGCGCTGAGGGCGGATACGCGGTCCGTCTTCAAATAGCGCTTTTCAAGTCTGGAAAAACGGGTTATTGATATTTTTTGAAGGCAAAGCACTGTCTTGGACTTAGCTCATCCAGGGGAATCGAGAATGATGAATATCCCAAAGTTGTCATTCTGTCGAGCCGCTGCCGTTGAGGAGTATTTTGAGTACTGAAGTACCTCCTAGTCATTTCTTACAGAACAGTTTTGACGAAGTTTGCCTATGAAGTCATGTTTCGTCATGCAGAAAAACTCACTGAATCTGTCTTTTTGGTCAGCGGTACCCAGGATTTCCGCTCGGGGTGGGGGGGGGGGGACAAAAAATTTTTTCCGATGAAGGTGAGTGGCGTTAGCCACGCACTCCGAAAAGTTTTTGGTATGCTTCCCAAAAATTTTGCGGGCAACTAAACCCGAAATTTTAGAGTCTCCGAAAAATCTTATTATGGAGCTGAATTGAATTTTTAAAAAGTTTAAAAAATTATTTTAGTCATTTACAAGTATAAACAAGTCACTTGCACATTTTTATTACTCATGTAAGTAACTTACAAAAATTTCCGAACCATTCTAAGGCCTCTCCACCATTGTCTCATATAGTGATTGGCGAACTCCATGTCCCATAATCGGCAAGAATGTGTGAAGAATGCATCTGTGCAAAAGCTTTTTTGTAAGAAAAAAACGCACGAATGCCGAAATTGTTCCTTTTTGCCTTTTAAGATTTCCATACTTGGAAGGCAAGAGATCCGAGTAAATCAGCTTTCCACTCGAATTAGTAGGTACACATTGAAAAGCATAATCAGCATTTTCCAGTGATATACGCTTTTGGCACATATCAACCGCTCCCCAAAGAAGTGAGGACGAAGATGAAAACGCTCAGATAATCGCCGGGGGCAGGCGGTCCGCAAATGTGCTTTTCTGCAAGCGGTCAGCAGAATTTTGAGGCGCGGCCAAACCTTCAGCGGGCGGCATTTCATTTACGGTCGCATATTCTGCCAGCGGGCAGCAATACAGCATTTTCTGCAAGCGCTCGGCAAATAATTTCTTTCAGCGAGAGCTGGCCAAATTTTTAGCAAGCGCTCGGACCAGGGCTCAGCACAGCTGGCACCGGGTCAAGCTGGATATCGTTTTCAGGGCGGAAAGCAAGGGGGATATCGTTTCTACAGGGGCCGAGGCGGAGAACTGCCGCAAAAATGCCACCGGCATGCCACCGGCACGCCATTGGCAAGCTGTCCATCAACAAACAAAGGCGTTGTTTTCAGCCAAAACGCAATAGTATGACACCAAATTTGGTGTGTGCATGCGCGTTGGTGGACCGGAACTACGGGCCAAAAATTTATGAAAACTTAGGTGAACGAAAGCTGTGCCTAACTTTTTTCTGAATTAGCTGGCACCGTGCCAGCTGGGTGCCAGCTGAGGTGGCACCGACACTTTGCTCACATAAGTTTTCATACTTTTTTACATAAAATGTATCTAAACTGTAAAAGATTACATACGGAGAAGAAACAGTTTCATAATGTTTTCTTTTCAGCGTTTTATAGCAATTTGAAAACCACTCGGCCCGCTCCGCAGTCGAAAAAGCGGCTTTTTCTGCTTCTCAAGATGTGATTCGACCACTTAAAAAGCTCAGAAAGCTGTGAAAAGTTCTTTCATGGAATCAGAAATGCATGAAAACACTACTACATTTTTTACATAATATAAAAATGATGACGGGTCTTCAAAACAGGTCAAAAGGGACTTCGTACGAAATTTTCAATATCAAACGGGACTTCGTTTTGAAATTTCCCTGGTGCCAGCTCGTGCCGAGCCCTGGCTCGGACCCTTTTTAGGCAGTTTCAGGCGTACGCCGAGCAGAGGTGAGACTCTATGTGGCAGAGATGTCATCGATGGTTCAATTACTCAAGTTTGAGGTACCTTCTTTCAGCGGAAGGTACCTACAGGCTGTGCGGTCCTCCACAAAGGACCGTGCGCCGCCCAACAATTTTGCATATTCTCGCGGAAAGTCCGCAAGAATGCGACCACTGGGCCGCAACTTATCCATAGAAAGACCGCGATAGTTCTTCAAACTCTCGTCTAGAAATTGGCCAAAATTATTTTAAATTTTTGCAAGCGGACCGCAAGAAACCAGTGAACTATTTTTCCGGTGCCGCTTGCTCAAAATTCGCATGGCCGCCTGCCTTCGGCGATTATCTGAGCGCTATGAACTTATGGAACGACTTAGTCTCTATATGTACAAAACTCAAAAATTGTCTGTTTGGAGGGTATGTGAGCTATAGAAACGACCGCCGCTCAACCGATTGGGCTAAACCTTTGCATACCGATGTTCTTGACCCCGGAGACTGTTTTAGGATACTTATTTACTGAAATTCGCTGGGTCCTTCAGTCATTTTTTACGTTCTAAGAAATCGGAGGCTTATTATGCTTGATCAAGCATTTTCCCATAGTCTAAAGGAGGGCGGCGAAGCTCATTTTTACCTCAGGAACACGAGGCTTCGAAGCGGATATCCCAGGATAAGTAATCCATAACACATAAGAGAGGAGGGAGGAGGAGGCTCGCAGTGCAGATGAAAATGGTCCGGGCTGGACTGGGAAAGCCAACTAGTAATTTGATAAAAGTTATTATATGATGTATATAGTGGTAACCATGATCATCTTCTGACGACTTCTCAAATCAGTCGTTGGTACAAAATCATTAAACAAGCAAGTAAGCAGTAGGCTACCATGACTGTTCCATGACTTTTCATTCTAACCCAAATTATAAAGTATCCAGCAGGTCAACATCATTGTTGTCAGAACGATTATATATGATTTTTCGGTTTTTTTGAAAAAAATTTTATTAGGTGGTAAATTTCACTAAATCCATATGCTGGAAGTCCTTACCGTAATCCTACAGTAATGAAGAGCGATTAATCATTCGCTCTTTTCTGTATATCTGAATTTAACCTCGCTCTACAAAACGGTACCTAAAGCTTCTCGAAACACTTCATTACAAGAGAGTTATTTACAATCAAACAGTAAGCACATTTTTGGGACACCCTGTATAGGGTCATTCGATAAGAACTGCTGTATTTTCTTTGAAGACACAAACAACATTAAATGGGTGCAAAAACATCTGTGCTGCACACGGATGCGTACTTGCTATAAAAAAGGGAGCAAATGGGTAACACAGATTGTACGCATACTGTAAAAATACTTTTTTTCTAAAAATAGCAGACAAGTCAATGTTGCGAGCGTCGTTGGCATTGCCATACTTTATTGCAACTGCTGTTCGATTTTTGGTTGTAACTTTAGCGGCACGGCTCCGTAAAGTTATCGTGAAAGTACAACCTAGACCTTGAGATATGCTGAACTATGACAAAGCTCCTAGAATGAAAGGTTTTTCGAAGCCGCATGAAGCATGTGCGCAGCACCGGTCATCGAAGTGTGCTGTACAATGATGTCATGGTGTGCTAGGCATCTCATGGAATAAGTATTGTATACTTTCATTTTTATACGAACAATGTCATTTTTGTACGAGCGATGTTGGTTACTCTAAGTTCGAATTAGGACCAAACGATCAAGAAACAAGTATGGTGATTGCTGCTTAGTGCTTGTTCTTAAAACTTTGTTTGACCGATTGAATGAGAGACAGTCAGAAGATGTCACGTCATTACAAAACAACTATGGTCAAATCATCACATTTGATGGTTTCCGACTAAAATGCTACCAATCCCATAAGGTACGACAGACCTTCTATAATAAAAGCTGATTGAGTAAAAGCACAACAACAGACGAATAATGACATGAGAAAAAACATGAAAATAAGCGTAACCAGCGCAGCAATGTTGCCTCCCTTCTCCCAACCTGAATGTCTGAAAAACGGCATTTTGTTATCTTTTCAACACCCATCACTGTCTTTTTTCATTACAAACTGTTACCCCACTTGCGTATTTCATCTGGAGCTCCTAATTGTACATACAATTTCTCTGCGCCCGCAGCCTTGAATCCGGCTATACCACTCGCAACAGTATGGACTGCGTCTAGATGAAAACGTTTCTGTAGTTTTTAATTGTGAGATTATGAGCTTACTCATATCAGGGATGGGGCGAGTGGCGTTGATGAATGGTAGGGTTATGAGATGCACAAAAACTCCTCGACCAGTTTCGTAAGAATTAACAACGAAAGAGCAGTTGTAACAAGGCACTAATTTCCAGAAGTTCACTGCCGAAGGGAAATTTCTTCCTGGAAAAAATCAAGTACTTCTTTCAATGACATTCCCAGAGCTTTCACGAAGAAATGAGGAAGACGTGAAATTTTCCTTATGGAATAGTGGTGGTGTGTGCTAGCACAAAAAATGTTTGCGTTGTTATCAAGTTCATTTGTGTGACTCTACAGCAAATCCCAAAAGGACTTTCTTTACAAAGCTTCAATATTTATAGAATTTTTCGTAAGTTATTTTGATTTTCATAGGTGTAGGCATGTGAGCCAATTAATTAAGCATATGCAAATCACTTCAAAATTTCGTGACCCATTCTAAGAGGTGATATGTTTGCCTACTTGCAAGTAGTGTAGATGTTGAGTCAACATCGCAAAAAGCTGCGCTCAGCATGACCACAGCTACACGAGATTTTTTGTGAATTTTCTGCTTCTCCAGCGTTCTAATTATTTCGAAACATGCAGGTCCTCTAGGGGAGGCAAAATGTTCTGCAAATTTTTTTTGTAAAATGTAGCTGGATATCAAGTTTTGACCACCTTCTATAGAAGACTTATTGTAGTAAATGCGTGAAATACTTGCATTTCTTAGCACGCAAGAAATTTCATCGTGCAGAACCTGAAAATTATCAATGTGGGAAGGTCTCAGATCATTATATTGATCAAAAAATCGGCGGATACTCACCGTCTCCTCTACGGTACTTATCCTGTGGAAAAGCACTGAAGTAGTGGATGCATCAATCGGTGAGTATAGATCGCACCATTTTAACTACAACTGATCAAGTTTCACCGAGCTTAGCAGAAATATGTCAAAAAAAATTGCTCTGGAGAAGACTACTTCAATCATTTGATTTTCTTCACACTATATCATATTACAGTTTACAAGTACAAAGAAAAAGCAATGGGAGCAAAAAAGGTGTCAAATATCAGAACTCAAAGGAAAACAAAGGTAGATCATCTAACTTCTCTTGGGAGGTATCGTCATCCTCCAGAATTGTTCCTATATGAACCACCAACGTAAAGGATGCTGCATGACGAAGGCGCAATACCTTTGGGCGCGATCGCGGCTTTATTAGCCACAGAGCGCATGAGGCGCATTATTTACAACGGTGAGGATACGTGCGCGCAGCTTTCGCGCCCGCTCAACTAATACTACTCCTGCGCCCTCGTCATGCAGCAGCCTATAGCTGCCTTTCGATTGTTTTAACAAGTTATTTCTAGCAAATTTAAGGCGCTTATTCGAAACTGACATGTTAAAAATAATTAGACACGTCGATGGTTCATATGGGAACAATTCTGGGGGATGCACCACATGTATCTTCGCGCTTTCTAGTATAAGGTTGAATTTGACGCGCATGAAAAAGCCAAGTCGAGTGTTGATGAGGATCAAGTAGGCATGACGGCTCACAATTCGCTTCTTCAATATCTGTACAGTGCCCAAAAAAGACTCATGTATAGCCCCTGAGTTACGGTGGAGAATGAGGTTGTAATACTGGAGGCGATGCTTGCATTATCTGCAAAAATTTTCTAGCATTGAAAGGCATTTTTGCCATTGAGTTTGGGCATTGAAATAGCTGGGTTGCCTCTATTGTAACACTAATGTTTCGAAAGTCCATTTCAACCAAGCCACAGCTTCAACTTTCAAAAGCTTAGCCAGAAGCAATATGCCAAATTCATCGTTGTTTTGAAAAACATGATTTACTATCGTGAGTTGATGAAATGCCCTATTTTGCACATCCATTTGCGCTTACGTAATTTAAAACGATCAAAGTACTGCTAAATCGGGCGACAACTGAAATTGCTTGAGATATGCCAAAAGACTAAAGACCAAGCAACTTCTTGCACACAGTAGAATACTGGCCAATTTGTGCAGAATGTTATGTTGTCGAAAGCTCACATATATAGTTCCAGCAAAAAGTAACAATCTAAGGTCGAAAGACATCAATGGAAGAAGTTGTAGTATTTGCAAAACACATAACAGCGTGCAAGCATCTACGATGTATAAGCTAGAAGAGCTTGTGCAAACTAACAACTGCATAACCAACGAGCAAACCTTTTCATCAAGTGCACTGACCACCATACTTGCAAAAGGATTTACGAGTAAGTACAGAAGAGAGAAAGGCCGCATGACAGCACAGGAGAATATACAGTGCTTCTCACTCGTCTCAAGGATGAAATTATGCAACCTTGTTTTGAATTGTTGCTTAATAAATACTAGTAGGAGGCGAGTCTCTGGTTAAGGCCCCGGTCAGACTTCACGCGACTTAATCGTCGCGACCAAATCGCCAAGATTTCCATTCATTTTCATTTCACATTCAAAAATTTCGGTCTGGAAAAGTATCACAACCGAATGCAAGTTGATCTGCATGGAATGATGTTGTAACAGTTGTCTCCTCGCGATTCAGTCGCGACGATCAAATCGCGTGAAGTCTGCCCGGGGCCTAAGGCGGTTGCTTTGGTTTTTGAGATAATGTGGATGCGAGGGTTTCTCATCAAAATTATAAACGCTATCAACCTTGACAGTATATGTACTGGGGTGATTGGAAAGTAATGCACAGCTTGAATTTCCTAAATTTTGGATGCTCGATTGATTTTCGTAATCAGGCACAACTAGATAGTCATGACATGCGAGACCTTTATGCCTATCATTCTGGCAACGCGCTCTCGCTCATCTCTCACAATCCTTGACTGGCAATATAAAGAACTCGGACCACGTTTTTAGAATGTCTTTCAGGTTGCGCTACTTTACAGGAGCCAGTAAGCGTAAAGCTTACCATTAGGAAGAGCTCCTTAACCTTTATCAAATCATAATTACATGCGCGGAGATTCAATTCGCAAAAAAGTTGAGGGAGTGCGATTTCCTGGCGCAATAAAACCAAAAAAGCATGCTTCAATTCTAATTATCATGACTTATGATAGAGCGCTAAGCGTCTGTCTTTTTGTGTGTGCGGCTGTCTGTCACAAAATTCATAGCAGGAGTTGCAGTCAAGCTATCGGCTATAATTTTGCGTAACATACCGCACCAGTATGTAGGTCTACCGTGCACAAGGACGAGCCGGTTCGATAAGCGAGTCCTTCAAAAGTTGGGCCTCAAACGGGTCCACGCAACTTTTGGCAAGCAAAGCTAGGTCGCTAATTCGACTTTTTTGCAAAATCATGATTTGCCTGCTAAGCAAATCTGCGCCCCATGAATTCTGGCCCAAAAGTGCACAAAAAGTTTGCTTTTCTACGAAAACAGCGCCAAAAAGTGGTAATCGCCTAGGTATAGTGTGTGCCCGGCTGGCTTCCCATAGGTACCGCGTGGCGCATACGTAAACGCGCGCTCGGTCTGACGCTCCTCGTTTAACTTATGAAAAAAAGAACTTTTCTACGTGAGATAGGAGTGAAATGAGAAGTGGAAACCACTAATCCCGATTCGAGAAGAGCCTAGTCAAGATGAGAACAATCACAGCTCCCACTAGCGCGCAGATTTTAGTCAGTCTCTTGCATGTTAGTATGAAAGTAGCAGTGATCAAAAATCCGAAGAAAGCAAAAGTCGAGGATTAATTTCGAGACGCTTTTTAGTCATAAAAAGCTAAAATGCTTAAGCTCGTAAACACATTTGTATCAGCAGAGCCCTAATGGTTTTACAAAAGAACTAGATGGCACGCCTATTCTGTAATAAAAATGCTTTGAAAGAATTTTCCTTTAAAATATACTAAAACCTTCACTGTTGACAGGAACGTAAATTTGAGACAAAAGCTCTCAAGACTATGAAGTTGATGTTGTTATGCCGATACGAAGTTTGGTGAAGCCTTTTATTGGTGCGGCCTTACGTTTCGACTTATGATATGACTTATAATAAGTCGAAACGTAAGGCCGCACTAATAAAAGGCTTCACCAAACCTCGTATGGGCATAACAACATCAACTTCCTAATCATACGACATGCCGAGGTTTCAAGAAAAGAGGACATCCAAACTGCTCTCAAGACTGTTAAAGTTCGTAAAAACTCATCACCGGCAGTTGTCGTGAGTCGTCTACACCTAAGGCAGAGCGATAAAATACCACTAAAGGCAGAAATGAAAGGCGCACTGAAGGCATGCGCTGGCGGGCGCGTCGCGGAAGTACCTATGGAAAGCTGGCCGGGGTCCACACTCTAGTCGATTTGGCAAGGTTTTAACTAATTATTTGAAGAGAATTTTGCACGGAAATGTAGTCCAAAGTGAGTGTTATCCCTATGACGACTGCCAAGCCAAAACAAACTCAGTGATCCATTTGAATTCGCGGGTGTTCCTTTGCGAAAAAGTTTTTCTTCTTAAATTTACCGATCTTACATGTAGATGCTTCAAAAATGAACAGTTGTTTACGATTCATTTGTGATGTTCAGCATCGCGTGGTGTTCAAAAGTCATCATTGAGCGAGCGTGAGAAAGGCACACGGAGAGCCATTGCGAAACTCTCCTAAGCAGAGGTTACGCTCTGGTACAGAGATAGCGGAAAATTGAGGAGAGCTGCACTCGGATGAATAAAGCATAAAAAGCTTTTTCAGATGGCAACCAAAAAATTCGAGTTCATTGAAAAATAAAATAACTGTTATCCCTTTTCCTTGAACTGCTCATGAACTTCGTGACTCAAAATCCCTAGCACTATTGACTTGTCCTTACCAAACAAGTAAATTAGATAGTTTTTGCAATTAAAATGGCAAAAAAGCAAAAAGCTATTAGCGCCTTGCACTTTTGGAAAGTTGGCGTACTGTAAGCGGCCATCACGATTACTAGCTTGTGAACTTGGCATACTCGAGCTTTAGTCTCGCGCTATTTTTCTACATCTACCATTGCGCACTATCTCAGGAGAAAGAGTTGTTTCTTACTGCCGCACTAACTTACTCTTCTCAGTCATGTTTTGGCGATTGTTTTTATTTGATATGCTCAAATTTGTTCAAATTCCTTTTATCATTGCATATACCTATTTTACTTCCACTCGTGTTGTCTATTGGGGCATATATTGTTAAGAGACTGTTTGAGCTACGACTACTTATCCTCTCCACCTTCACGAAAGGATGTAGCGATCTGTGCGGCCCCGCGTCAGTGTGGTCAGCTGCAGTCTGCTGCGATCAGTGCGGCAGTCTGAAACAACCCAAAAGTGAAGCTTGTGTACAGCTCGCGAAACAAGTCGTGTCTAAGATTACGAGTTTAGCTCGAGCTTGCTTCACGAGTTTGCATGTCGTGATGGGGCGAATGTGTTGAAGGATAGCCGGCAAAATCAATGCCTTGCGGAACGAGAATAAGCTCGAGCTCAAAGACAGTGCGCAACCAAATTTGGACGCACGGGTTTCTCGCTTGGAATTTGATAAGCCGGTCCTAACTAGGCACTGCCCAACCGGCAGCGCAAATAGATCATTCATGGCTAAAAAATCCGTCCCTTCCTCGCGCCTGCGCCGTGACCGTAATTCGAGATTGATTTGCCCATCTTAACACTACGTTCGTTCTGAGACCCATCCTAAGAAGGTCACGGCGCAGGCGCGGAATGTTTGCAGATGAATTTCTCAGCCGTAAAGAATCATTTGCGCTGCGGTTTGGGCAGTGCCTTAGCTAGTGCCTCATCAGTCTCAGAGCAAACCCTGAACATTGCGTCCAACTCCGGCCTCGTACGTTACCACTTAGGGGGGATTAGTGCAGGCCGAGAAGTGTTACTACTTTTTGCTTTAAAGTACTGAAAAACATTACTAGCAAGGACAGCAAAGACAAAGGCGTCAGCGCGACAGTCTTCTGGCATGCTGATGGATATAGCGAGTAGCAACTAACAAGTGGGATGGCTAGCAGTCGAAGTGACCAGTCCAAACAAGCTATGCCATTGGATGCAACACTAAATGCTGACTTGAAATCGTTTTCCGTATCTCCACGAAGTCATAAGCAGTTTTATCCCAAGTGGCACATTATTGCTTTTTTAACTTACCTTTAGGTTTCAGCTACACAAAGGACGTAGTTGCATGTTTTGGGCCAGCATCTAGCTAAACATGCTTTGCCTAGCCAAGCTTGCACTTTTGTGTCACAAATTTTCTGCGAGATGTTGGCTTATAACCTCGTCTACGAAGGCGTTCAGAAGGTAAAACGAAAATCAAAATCAGCATTCTATGCTGCTTCCAATGGTATGCCTTTTGATTTGTTACTTCTACTTCTGACCATTCCCTTGTAAGCAACTTCCAGTAAAATTATTGTTTTTGTATTCAGTCGCAACAAATATAACAAGCCTGTACAATGTGATTAATCGCGCTATCTGTACTATCTCTTTCCTGGGTGACTGTTTCTCCGAACAAATTCCTATGTCACATTTTTAGATTTCATTTTTTATAGTGCTCAGAAAGAACGTGAAGAATGGCAAAACCGTAGATAACTACTTTCTTAAAAAGCCGACAGTGAAACAAAAAGTTGATGTGAAGGTCTCGCTACGATAAGTTACTCTAAAAAATTAACTTTTATCTGCAACGGAAGTCGTTCCAGGTTTCTGTCGTACATAAATTCGCGGCGTTCTTCATCGTATCTCTTTGCATCAATATAATGAAAAGGTGCATTCAATAATATTCGATTTTTCCACTTAATCACCGCTATCCGAAACTGGTGAAATTCATGATTTAGCATCGCGTAGTGGGCGGGAAAAAGGAAGTATTCTAACAGGAGTAGGGCTTTAGGCCGTATTTTCAATCGCAGACGTTTGGATAGGCGCACTAATCTTCTAATCCAGTTTTCCACCTCGCACGAACCCAAGTTGTCATAACGTCCAATATTACGCTTAATGCGCATATCCCTTCGCAACCTCTACGTAAACACTTCTTACTGCCTTAAAGTTATTTCAGCGTACGCGAAAAGATTGAAAGCAGTGGTATGATGTCGGTCACTAGTGCAACTGAGAGCGCGAATTGTGTCATTTCTCTTTCAGTCCCGTATCTAGGTGTTCGGATTGTTTCTTCATTCTCAACTCCAAAATGTACGCTCGTGTTCAATAAAAAAGAAGTCTATCCTGTGACAACAAAGCAAATCAGTCTCAACTTTTCATTCTGTCACTTGGCCACCTGAGGCAGTTAACAGTGAGTAGTACTAGAA